TACAACAAGAATGGACCTAAAATGCAGGCCTGTACATGTATGTAACTTTATATTTGATGTTCTGAGGTACACATTCTCTATGGGGAGTTGTGAAAAGTTTCTGACAATCTTGGAGATGTTTCTCAGTCATAAAGATATGGCATTTCTAAATACTTTTTTCAACATACATCATTTTTAAATGTTATGGTAAAGAAACATTTTAGTGACACAATACAAAATCAATCTCAACAGCACTCAAATGAAAACTACCAAAAAACGTCGGAAAGAATGTTGCACCTGGATCCACTTTTTTCTATCATTATCAGTCAATGAAAGTCAGTCATTGCAAAAAGTTGAACATGTTAAAAAGACATGAATCCAGGACTGAGTATTTCCTATTTTGTTAAAAAATACTTAGAAAATGCACTTGACTCTCCATAAACTCTGTACACTTGCGTCTACATACTACATTCCAAAATGTCAATGAACTTTATTGTTTGTAAATTGAAAATAGTAAAATGAAAATTTACTGAAAAGGTTCTAATGTCTTGTTTCTCCATGTTCTGACACTCTCTCCATCAAAAATTGAGTACATCCGGTTGTTTGTACTTCCAGAACTGTATATGATCGTACATGTGCAATTTTTCTGGACTAAATTTTACAACTTGAGCCCAACACAACTACTTCCAGAACTGTGAGGTTTTTTACAAACCTTACACAGAAAGACCAATTGAAAGTGCTGTAGAAAAAAATTCTGGATTTTTTTCCGACCTCCAAACTCTCCTGTCACGAAATGTTTGACCTCAATATTTCACAAGTATTATCTTGATGTGGATTAGTACCTCTAGGGTGGGTTGAAATCCCTCAAATGTAAAAAAAAAATGTGAAATTTACCAGAAATTCAGAATTGCGTTCACCAGGATCATTTGAGTCTTGCACTTGGCTGTCTGTCATCGTTTGCCATCGACTGAGGGCACTTTAATTCTCTTGAACAACTACGGCTTTCATTCCGAGAGTGTCTCCGTGCCTCACGCGATGAAATGAAAGCCGCGCTGTGGTTGGTCAAGAGAATTAAAGCGCCCTCAGTCAACAGTAAACGATGAGAGACGGCCAAGTGCGAGACTCCAATGATCCTGGTGAAGGAAATTCTGGTAAATTTCACATTTTTGTTTGACATTTGAGGGATTTCAACCCACCCTAGAGGTACAAATAGTAATGTTGTGCCCATTCTTGAAAATCACGCATTCTCGAGAATGGGCATGCACATTCTTGAGAATGTGCAACTGGATCCTTGCTCAATCTTGGCAAAAAATAACTCTTCCAGATTGAGCACACATTCTCGAGAATGCGCGACAAGATAACGGTCTTGTCGATGCCGAGCACCGGCTGCGCTTGGCAAGTCTAGCTGAATCCTCGTTCACTGATTCTCAATAATTATACTGTTGCAACGCAAGGCGCTGAAAAGTAGAGTGGATATGATAAGTAAAGGCGTATTAATATGGGGGGGGGGGGGACCGGGAAAATATAAGAGACATAATAATACTAGTGCAAAGAATTCTGATTTTTGGAATAATAAAAGGGGGGGGGGGTCGTAAAAATGAAGAATGTGAAGAATGAGAATGAATACTGCGACATCCCATAGTGCTAATGCTATTTCCCATTTAAATTGCCACCAATTTATTGTTCACATCCCACCATAACGTCGCAGAGCTGGATTCTATCTAGTCAAAAGAGCAATTTTGGCAGCTTCTGGACATCATTTTTTTTCGTGGCACGCATATGATACATGCAGGGACTTGTAACTTGTCTAGCCTAAACAAAGCACTTCCCAGACTAGTTCCCAGTCCTCCGTTATTACAAAACTTCCCATAGTGGGCAGAAAAAAGCAATAATAACAGGTTTAATTTGATTCAAATTATCGTAGTTATACGAGTACAGAAGCATAGCACATTTTCTTTCCTCTTTATATGAATTGTTTCCCTTTTAACCGCTATACAATTCATTTAACATAATTATGTCGTGCAATGTTTGTTAAGATTGGGCAAAATTCATAAATTGTGCACGTGATATTCCCACCCAATCTTAAGAATGAGCGCTCATTCTTAAGAACGCGTGCTCGTTCTTAAGAATGGGCGCTCATTCTTAAGAATGCGCGCCCATTCTCGAGAATGTGCATGCCCATTCTCGAGAATGCGTGATTTTCAAGAATGGGCACAACAGTAATACACATCAAGATAATACTTGTGAAATATTGTGGTCAAACATTTTGTGACAGGAGAGTTTGGAGGTCGGAAAAAATCGAGATTTTTTTTTCTGCAGCACTTTCAATTGGTCTTTCTGTAACTGTTTGTAAAAAAAACACAGTTCTGGAAGTAGTTGTGTTGGGCTCAAGTTACATGCAACGTGTACTGTCAGTGCAGAGACCGGTGTGGTGAACCCATACACTATCCTCCGTTGTGACGAGTGTAAAACTGAGTGACAGGTCACCACGGGGGTTTACAACAGGAAAATGTACTTTCTCCTCAAACTGTCTTACCTACTATCTGACCTCAGTAATGAGACGGTTCAAGCTTGAATAATCCAAGGGAAGTTTGAACATGCGGTTTCAGTCGCCATTTTTCCTCGCTGATGAAATCGGGAAATAAAGGGAAATCATGTTAAACTCATCAGTCATCACAGAAAATAAAGGCAGACTTTCCGTACCGTGCATGCGTGATCGGGAGCTTTGTCGATTGGTGGCGCTATACAAGGCTGCCTACAGATATAAAAGTGACCGGGGTTGACGAGTCAGAAGATTTACAAAAGAAGCTCAAAAGCGGGGGAATACTTAAGTTATCTGTTTTGGCTCAAATTATTTGGAACATTCAAATAGAGTGAGCATCATACCATCGTCCATCAAAACATCAAAGTCACGACGGTAACCATCATCCCCCATCAAGTCCTCCAAACTTACCCGGAAGGTTAAAGTTGGTGTAGGCCCTATATATGTGCTTTTTTGGGCGTGGCACCTTGGAAAATAGTTATTCAAATTGAATTGGTAAGTTTCTAGCATTACATTAGTTATGAGCTTTCCAATGAAATATCGCACGAAAAAAATCAGCCCACGACAAGGTATCAGTTAATTAATTTCAACTTCAGTGTGCGCAATTTCTGAACTGGAGCGCGCCATTTAAAATCACTTTTTAAAACTGTATAAAGGCCTAGCCTGCAAAAATAAAAAAAGCAAATTTATTTGTTGCCGGACATTATATTCCTTTAAATATCGTTCGGAAAAGAAAAACGAAATTATGAAAAAGCACGTATTTAGCAACTTTAAGTTACTCTCGCATTAAGTTCGGAGCCGATCGGCACCGTTTCTATGACTACGTCCCTTTTCTATATAATTATGGCCATCACTGGACTAAATCGCGAAGCACGGAGTTCTGTGGCCAGTGAGTGGCCATAGAAGGGGGCTACAATATGACCAGATTGAATCGGGAATCCAATAAGTAGGATGTGACAGTCAAATAGTATGCAATAATCATATTACTTGATTGTATGTATATAAAATGGGATCACACATCATTTTGTGAAACCATTCCGCTAAGCGGGCCTAGACTGTCATTTTCGAGAAAAGAGGAATTACCATCATTTCCTCGCGTTGATTAGGCTAGGACCAACCCATCGCGAGATGATTGAGGGAAAAAAGCTCCTAAATTTACAAAACGGTTCTCAAATTGCCCTAGAATGGGGGACGGGGCATTCCCGGACCCATAGGCCTAGCCTCGGCCGGCACGCCTTCACTCAAAATAGGCTATCAACTCCCGTCTCCATGCGTTTCCTGAAAGCTATTTGCCTAGAGAATAAAACTTATTTCACAAGTGCACTTGTGACATAATTTTCATTCTCTAGGCAAATCTAGGCAAATCTAGATTCCCAGTTCGTCACTTAAGGTTAAAAATATTAGTTTACATAATACTACACTTAAGTGACGAACTGGAAATCACGCCACAAGAGGCCTAAAACGTGGGCCCTGGTTAATGAACATTTTGGAAGGGTGGCAGTCAACGGAAACTTTGCTAGATTAATGTATCACAGTTTTCTTAACAGTTTTAAAAGAACCCATTTTTTAAGAGACGTCGCAATAAAGGCAGGCACTGCGTACACCACCATCTTTTCCTCCAAAAGATTTGGTTAAAGTGCTCAGAAATTGTCTCAGATCGCACCACAGAGCATCTAGAATCAGAGCCCTAGGCTCCGTAACATCAAATAGTTGGGGCGGGGCTAGCTGTTCAAAACGTTTAGCATGGCTACATTAGACGATAACTACAGCTATTCACTTTCCAAGGGACGTTAGAATAAACAGCCACTCGCGAAAAAAAAAAGAGTTTTGGTAAAAAATACGCATACAATCGCAGAAAAGGGGGCTCAAATATTATTTGAGCTAATCATGGTAACTCATATGAATATGTTTTTCCACGGATGCCAAATTTTCAGTGGGGGGGGGGGGGGGCGTCTGGGGGAATGGGGGGGGGGGGACTTTTTAGGGGGGCATGCGCTCCCCCCCCTCACGTAGCTACGCCACTGCCAAAAGGATGAAGACAGCAAATACAAACAAGCAAAAGAACTGCGTACAAAGAGTTGCAAAAAATCACAAGAAGCTAAGGTCACCAAGTCGTTATCAATTTTGCAATGAGTTAATTATCGTGTAAAATACACCTAGTTAGTTCCAAATTGAACTGCTTTTTGTCAGCATTTCGAAGTTACTAACTAAGATATAAAACCCCCATATAAAACAATATGAGACTTGTCAATAGAAGACAAGTAAAATGATCGTTAGATATTTTTAATGTCGGCGCTTTGTATTTTGTTTCGTTAAAAATATTTCCTTTATACCCATGAAATTCTGGAAATCACACAACTAACTTTTTGATATTTCTTTATACCCAAGAAATTCTGGAAATCACACAATTAACTTTTTGTGGGGCGTGGCCGTGCTGTACGTTAAGTTAGTATAGCGCCACCAATAGTTTGATAACGTCCACAAAACAAACATGGCGGCCTCCATGTCTGTTTTCTTGTATCAACCCGCGCTCGCAATCATTTGACAATTTCAAGCCATAAAATGGCTTTCTACATTAAACCTCCAGGCGGGATCGAAAAACTGCAAAACCTGGCCGTCTACGGCAAGAAGAGATTGAGATTTCTGCAGCAAGTATTGAGATGTGACAGCAGCGCAGATTTCCGCGGGTTGTTGGATTGTGCGGACACGGCAGATGATTCCGAGTGTCTTATTGAGGGTACAACGAAAGACCGTGTGTCACACTTTCTTCTGAGGTATTGTTTCAACACAGAGTTTACTTCGTAAAATTGGTCTTCTCAAACCAGGTCAAAAAGCTTCTTTCGAGGAAAGAATATTGCATCCTGACGCCCATTTTTTATCGTATTTTATCTCAATACAATGAACTTATGAAGGTCAGTTATTGTAAAAATGTTGAAAAGACATGAAACTGGGACTGAGAAACATTGCCAATTTGTTAGAAAATACTTTGAAAATGCACTCAACTCTCCATAGACTTTGTACGCAACCAACGAAGTGGCGTGTGGATACTACATTCTTTCCCTGATTTTATTTCATATGCAAGATATTAAAATAAAAATTCAGTGATAAAAACTAGCTGTTTATCAAATTTATTGTGCAAAATTTATGCTGTACTTTTCTTAACATTTTCTGCCGTTTTTGTTAATATAGACTCGCCTGCTGCCAAGACTCAGAGATGGCTTCGTTTTTTGTGAGAGCGGAAACCGAGCTGTTTTGCCATCGTTTTGCAAGCATGAACTTGACTGAACTGGTCCACCTCTTTAAATCCACTCACTGCTTTTTGTGTCGTCTGTGTCGACATCACAGCAAAAACAGTAGGCTGTTTGTCGTTCAGAGTGGACAGTCTAGTAGCAGAACTGTCTGCATTGATCTGCTTAAGATCCTGAAAGGAATGATAGCTGATGGGCTGACCTGGGAAGATGTTGTTAACAGGTACCTGGAAGGGTGTAGGTCAGAGGTCATACAAGTCCCTTTTGAATATGCTTTATCACTCGTTGCCAGTCGATCTGTTGTGCTAGAGCGTGGCGTGGCTATGGTTCCCCCTGCTGACATCCTAAAGGTTTTGGCCTCGCTGTTTGAGGAGCTGATCTCTAATGGCATGGTAGATGCACGTCATTCAGTGCATGATGTAGCTGCCAGTGATGAACGCATGGTGGAGCTGTTTCGTGAGTTAAGGCACTTGTACTACTCTGGTAGCAGATTAACGGGGGTTGATTGGACATTGGACAGTGGCTCTGTGGCCTTGGAGGATATTGATAATTTGTCAGGGTGTTTCCCGCCGTGTATGCAACACTTACATCGAATGCTGAGGCAAAAGCATCGGCTAAGACATTTCTCAAGGGTAAGTTGGGACTTGGCATCTTCCACTGACTTGCTCTTGTTTCTGTCTCTTCTTTGGGGGAAGGGGAAGCTTAGGATGAATAGATTGGCTAACACTATTACAAGTTTGACAATTTGGGCAATAGTAGTCACTTTTTGAATGGTTGATTTCATTAGTGAAAGAAAATATCCTTTATTTCTCGTGACAGATCCAGTACACTCTCTTCCTAAAAGTGGTAGGTCTGCCTGTTTCCGAGGCGGTAAAGTTCTGGCGAAGAGAGTACTCCCAACCAAGCTGTCACCATGGCGACAGTGCCGGATGCACTCACACCTGGCAACGGGACGGAAGGAGATACACATACAGCATTAGGCATCTGTATGGGTTGGAAGGGTCAAGGGTCAACTATAAGGCACACAGTTGCCGCTCAATACAGGTGATGAAATGAAGACTGTTCTGAGCTTAGGCTGCTCCGTAAATACACACAGAATTAGATGAGGAATACTCTAAATTTTAAATGCTCAGTTTCTTTACTCTTAACATATACAGACCATCAAATAAATGGATCGAATCTCCCTTTTTTCAGTATTTGTTTTAGATGAAATCAATAATAGACACAAACAAGAGTAAAAGCAAAAGACAGTTTGTCTGGGATAGTTCAAACTCCAAAGACAATCACATAGGCTTCGTTCCACCGGGGTCCCCTTAAAAAAATACGTTTTTTAAAAAGTTGGGTTCTACTCTGAATACCCATAAGTTTTAAATACAGAAAATACACCTTATCACAGTATGAACATGATTCAGTCATGCATTAAATGAATATCGTCTTTGATAAATTCACCATTTTCACCCAATGAATAAAACAAAACCTTGGATCAATACGATTTTTGTCGACTCTCGTTAATACAAATGCCAGCCGGACCTAGCAAAAATGTTTGTCATATCAGAATTTTGTGTTAAGCTGAGTTCCGGTCTCATTCATTGTGCACATAATATGCACAGTCGGGACCAAGGCTTTGTTTGCTATGACCAGAATTTGTACAAACAGGGTTTGTATTAACGAGAGTCGATATTAATGTCAGCTGACAGTCACATAGAAACTTGGGAGTTCCTTTTCAAGTTAGGATCTGTTTTAAACCCCCAAACAGGAGTGCAGCATAGGACACGGTGAGGAAGGAGGATGTCCGTTCAGTCACTTTGATGATGCGCATCTTAGAAATGTGATGAGTTATGCAGGCATCAGATCGGAGGAAGACACAAGACAAATCATTGATCTTGCCGAGAGAGGAAAAACGCAGGCTGCCTGTCGAGCGTTTTTCAGGAAGTCAGTTGCTGTGAGTTTGGCCCGTCTTTTGAAGTCAAATGTTTCCGAAGGAAACAGTAGCAGTGACCTCGACAAGAGAGAAGTTGATGAAAAAGAAGCTGACGCCGAAGACATTGATCTTCAACCGTGTAATGAGAAGAAGCCAAGTGTTGGAATGGGCGGAGCTGTAGCTTCTACCGCTGATGATGGTAGAGAAAATGCCAATGTTACAAAACAGTCTGAAAATCGCGATGCATCAGGATCTCAATCTCTGAGGGGATCACAAGCCTCCGATAGGGTTCCTAGTTGGAAGGATGCTGATCTTAGAGAGGACGGGTCGTTCTTTTCTGTCACTAATGAAACGACCTCCTCAAAAGATCAGTTGCTGATGCATCAAGTTAGGACAGGCAGTGAAGACTACAGTGATAAACAAAGAGCTGACAGTGATTTAGCAGGGGAAGGGTCTATTCCTTCCTCAGGGAAACATTCAGATATCTTGCCCACTCGCCATCAGCACATAGAAGTTACCTCTGAAACAGTTACTGGAAACTCAAGAGATTCTAAAGCAGCTGAAATATTTGAAGGAGTCCCGCCTCCATCTGCCACAAGGACATCCAACTCGTCAAACAATCATCAACCGATACATCAAATTGGTCAACCAAAGACTGATTCGGGAAGCCGTGGAGACTCGCCTGACGAGACAGCACCTAGCAGCTCATCTATCACCATTCTAAGAGATGTCCAGATCCACAAACCAATTGATTACTACAGGAGCTACGTTCAGCTCCTAGCGAGCCTCCAGCAACTTGAGGAGTCAAATCTCTGACGGAAATCTGAAAATGTTTAATGTACGCAAACCACAACTTAGCTCAAGAGGAGAGGATTGCTTCAATACTTTACACCTTTTTAGACAAGTCTCCACATTAGCCTTTTTGAGGTATTTTGGACACAATAAGAGAGTGCTAAATGGTTTGGGTGAATTTGGGTAAATACACAAGAGTTTCCCGAAAGCAAATAGCGCCCCCTATTGTTTCCACCATATATTAAAACGGCTAGTGCGTGAGCTCACAGCAATCTGCAAAGATAGGTGATAAAAGCGACATTCATAATCCTTTTGCAGTTATATAAGATAATGTACACAATTAACTATTTTAATATTTTTACACCGACCATTTTTAACAATAACACCGTGCAGCTGTTGTGAAAACGCAAAAACTCATAACTTTTAACGAATTTTTGGAGCGTTTTTGTAACTCTTGAATTGAATATACAATGTAATGGCTTTTGATTAAAAGGGCTGCATGGACTTCAGTAGCTACCATTAACCAACTGAAATATTCCATTTTATACAATATAAAGCTAGAAGAATACAAAAATAAAATCAACAATTTCCTTGATCTGAAAGATAACCAAACTTCAAACGAAAAAATAAAATGTTCACATTTTTTTCTTCTAATTTGAGAATGTTTTACGTTATTTGTACATGTACCTGATTTTTTTTTAGTTTTATCTTCCTGTTGGCGTCAAAATCACACATGCGATGTTTTATTATTATTGGCAAAATTAATACATTCAGTGAATATCACTGAATATGATCCTCTTCCACTAATTCCTACGAATTAAAAATTATGTCTTGGAAATGAATGGTCTCTGTAATGTTCTGAAAAATCCCTTTAATTGTTGGCGTGTTAAATAATCCCCCAAGATATGCATTGGCGCTCAGTTTTTCTCTGTATAAGGACATTTGGGGAACTTTGGACAGACAAAATTACCAGTTGTACTTTTTGGGGAATTAATTTTTTTCCGATTAATTTCGGGGAAACTGCCGGGGATTGTTAATGAATACAGGAAACGACGTTGGTGTAAAAAGACAAAAAGATAAGGTCTTTTTTCTTCTTTTAAGACGCGGGGGGGGGGGGGGGGGGCTTAATCCCTTATCCTGGCTCCCAATTAACCGCACCAATAAACTTCAACGAAGAAAAGCGACTTGCACACATGATAAACAACCAGCACCTGATACCATATTCAAATTTCACAAACTATAATGTGTACTTAACATGTGTAAAGGAGCAGAAAATAACTTAAAGATTTCCCTAGTTTCAGATCTGCTACCCGTCTTTTTATAGGAGTACACCCCCCTCTTCTCCCGTGTTTAGTTTAGTAGTGGCCTCCCCCTTCCCCCATTGTTTATTCTGGCCCCAACTTCCTGTGTAGCTTTAGTTCATTGACCTAGAGGCTCATTCAGCAGACCAGCATCACACAGGCAAGACATATAAGCCCTACTCTAGCATTGGTGTACATTTTCATCCCGATCACAAGTGTCTGTTCCATTTTTGGTAAGTTTCATGAGTTTTCATTACTTTCCTTATTATTGTATAGTTCCAGTTTTATATTTGCCTTTATGATACTCATATTATCCAGTTCAGTATCATTTTAGCTCCTTTTAAGATAAGAGTTCTTTTTCCTATACATTAAACTGTTTTTGTCTCCACTTTTCTTGGAAGTCGTTTTAGCTAGCCTTTTTGTTTAGAAACTTTGAATCTTTTGATGACTGTTAAGTTTTGTTTTGTAACTTCTTAAGTCAGTTTTGACTTATTTCTAGACATTTGAGAAGTCCTTTTCTTGGAAAGTCTTGAAAATGTGTGATTTTCTAATAAGTTTTGTAATTTAAGTTTGCCCAGGTTTTAATTGCTTGAGTCTAGGATTATCTGCATTTACGTTTCATGTGTATAATATCCTCAGAGTTTAAGTTCCTTTTTCTTGCATTTTGAGTTGATTTTCATATTATTCTAGGGTTTTTAGTTGCTCTTTTTGACTGCATGTACATAGACCTGTATTCATTTAGCCTAGACCATGCCTTAATCCTTTGTTCCCTCCTTCCTAGAAGTAATAGTTTATTGAGACAGTCCAGAGGATTAGCATACATAATGAGGCCCATTGAACTGTGCAGGATCTTGAAGTTTATATGCGTTAATCCCTTGTGCACACAGTGGTAAACTTGCATTTGGACCTTATGTTGCTTAGAGGATACTTTAGTACATGGACTGTAGTTTCATAGGAGTTTTGTTTTATAAGAACTGTTTTTAAATTGCCATTTGTTTCTTATTTTCTTGTTGCAGGTTTTTAGTTCATTCCTGTGCTTTTAGAGTCATTTCCTTTAGTGCTGTGTGGGTTTTCTTCTGTTTCTCCCTTTTTTCTTCTTTGGGTTTTATTATTTTAACTTAGTTTTTTTGTAATCATCCCTAAATTTTATCAAATTGTTTATTTTTTTTATCTTTGGCAAATTCTTTTGAGTTTTATTTGCTGTTTTGACCCACAGTGAGATTTTGTTTGGAAGTATTTGAGAAACCTAATTTTCGGAAGGATAGACATTGTTAGTTTTTTTATCTGTTTGAATTAAACATTTTTTGAGAAGTCTATTTTCGTTTCCTTGATTCCTTTTCTTTCTTTTTTTTGTCCCAGTTTAAAAACTAAATCGCGACATAATCATTGGAACCAGGTGTTTTTCTTAGTGATCCATTTTTCCACGTTACATTTTTGGTGCCGGAACCCGGGATGATTAATTTTCTTTAGGAATTTAGCCATTTTTGTTTTTTAGCTGGGACATTTTTTTCTTCTTTGAAAGTTTTTTTAAATCGAAACCCACACAGTGCTTTTGGTAAATGAACTCAAGGAGTACAGAATGGCTGAAACACCATCGTCATTGCCAAACCTCACCTTCTATGGTGCAATGGGCACCCCACATCCACAACCGGGCCCCCCTCAACCTCAAGCCTCACCATTGATGACCAGTCCCCACTACCAGATGACAGCAGCCCAGCAAAATCCTCTTCATCTGGCAGACTTTGACCCGCCATCACAGACAACTCCGCAGCCCCAACCAGCACCTCGCATGTACACTGCCCACCAGATGAAGGATGTGCAGACCTTCAGTGGGTATGGTTCAAAGAAGCATGGACTCAAGGTCGAGGACTGGGCGAGGGACATCAGATTCCTACTTGAAGCCAAGGGACCTCAACCGGAGAGCATTCGGTTCCACGAGGTAGTTCGGCACACCAAAGGAGAGGCGCGGGATGTCGTCCTAAATCTCGAGAGTCGGGGAACGGTAACCGCCGAAGAGGCCATCACTGAGCTGCTGGATGAATTTGGAGAGGGCAACATGTCGACAACGCCCATCGCCACCTTCTTTGCCAGAAAACAGCGGCCTGATGAAACTGCCATCGAATATGCTATCGCACTTGAGGCACTACTTAGACACGTCGAGGAACTGCAGAGGCGGCAGGGGAGGAACGTTCATGGTGGGCCTCCACGACAATGCAGTCAGACAACGCTTGGCACCGATGAAACCCCGTGACATGAGCTTTAAGCTGCTTCGTAAGGAGCTCCGCATCATCAGTGAAGAGTTCCACCTGGCACGTGAGTCGAGGCGTCACTGGTATGAGACCCACCAGCAGAATACTGGAGCGCCAGTCCAGGACATCATTACACCATCGGCCAGTAAGGGGGAAACCAAAGCAGGGCCTGCCCAGACAAATCAGCAGTCCACCACAGATGTTACGGATCAGCTTGGGGAACTGACAGCTCTAGTACAGAGGCAGCTTACTACCCTAGACCACGTCATCGAAGGCCAACGATGGATGGGACAGCGAATCCAACACCTTGAGGGCTTCATCAATCAAGGACAGTCGATGTGGAGCCCCAGACAATCAAATCTTCCTGTTCGTGCCCCTGCCTCAAGGCCAGAAAGGAGATGCTACAACTGCGGGGAAGTAGGTCATCTCGAACGGCAATGTAGAGTACCCCGACAAGGACAGCAGCCTTTAAACTAGCCCGACCTGCGGATGCCGGGCAATCGGCAGGTAACTCTGTAAATAAAAGCCCTACTGGATCAAGAGATGAGAGGAGCTCAGGAATGGTTTCTACCCAAGCTTGCCAGGAATCTCAGCAAAAGGAGGGGCCAATGCATATCGCCGGACCAGTCAGCACCACCGAAGTGGTAGTTTCAGGCAAATGCTGTCAGGCTCTCGTGGACACGGGTTCCCAAGTGACCACCATCACTGATGTGTTTGTCAGGGGACATCCACAGCTTAGATGCGAGGCCCTGCGGTCGTCAGATATCTTAATCAAAGGTGCTGGAGGTCAGAGAGTCCCCCACAAGGGATACATCCTGCTTAGTATTGACGCCCTGGGACAAAAGGTAAATAACGTCCCTGCCCTGGTAGTGCCAGACACCCCCTTTCGACGCAACATCCCCCTTCTCCTCGGAACGAATGCGATCCTGGCTCTGCGCAACACCCTGCATGATCAGTATGGCAGAGGACTGATGTCCCAAACCAAGAAAAGATCACAGACCTGGTACACAGCCTTTCAGTGCGTCAACGTAGATGGAGTTGACATCGCCAGAACGAGTGGTGAAATTGGCCTTCTTCGCTTCACAGGCAGACGCCCATTGAAGGTTCAACCGGGAGCAGAAGTTGTCATCACAGCTAGGGCACCGCAAGCAACCAGAGGGCGGACCATCACTGCACTAGTAGAGGGAAACAAGTACCAGAATTTAGGTGTCGGTCGGGCACTGGTAGAAGTCAAAGATGGCAGAGCTCCCATCCGTATGTGCAACTTGTCTCATCAAACAATCACTGTCAGGAAGAACTCAGTCCTCGCCATGCTTTCGTGTGTTCAAGTCCTCCAGTCCTCTACATCTGAAGACGTAGCGGAGATGACATCCTTTGAGCATCTGGTGTCCCATGACAATCCTGTACCAGATATCAACCTTTGTGATGCAGACCTGTCGCCATCTGAGAAGACTGCCGTTGAAGAGCTGCTGAGGAAGAATGCTGATGTTTTCTCCCAAGATCCAATGGACATCGGCCACACACCAGCAGTCGAGCACGAAATTCCCCTCATCGACCCTACCCCTTTCCGACTGCCTTATCGGAGGATACCACAAGCGGAGTTTCAAGAAGTGAGAAAACACATAGATGACCTCAAGAATGCTGGAGTCGTTAAGCCCAGTCAGTCCCCATTTGCCTCACCAGTCGTGGTTGTGAGGAAGACAGACGGTAGCATCAGACTTTGCATTGACTACCGTAAGCTGAACTCCCGCACGGTCCGAGATGCTTTTCCCCTTCCACGAATTGAAGAAACGCTGGACGCTTTGGGAAAAGCAAAATACTTCACATGCCTGGACCTCACCTCTGGCTATTTCCAAGTCAAGGTAGCAGAAAAGGACCAATCCAAGACTGCCTTCACGACACCCATGGGCCTGTTCGAGTTTACACGGATGCCCTTTGGCCTCGTGAACGCCCCAGCAACCTTCCAACGGCTGATGTCCACAGTCTTTGCCGGAATGCACTTTGAGAGTGTTCTCCTGTATCTCGACGATGTTATCGTTTTCAGTGAAACGATCGAGGAACACATCGCCAGACTAGACGAAGTTTTCGAACGGTTCAGAGAACACAATCTGAAACTGAAACCCTCAAAGTGCCATCTTCTGAAGCGAAGCGTGAAGTACCTCGGCCACATCGTTTCATCAGAGGGTATAGAGACAAACCCAGACAAGCTATCTGCAATAGAAGAGTGGCCAGTTCCAACATCTAAGAAGGAGGTGAGAGGTTTCCTAGGAATCACAGGGTACTACCGAAAGTTCGTCCAGGACTATGCGAAAATAGCCAGTCCCCTCTTCTCACTTATAGGAGGGAAACGAGGCACCAAGGACCCTCCATTTGTTTGGACCAAAGCATGCGAAACCGCCTTCCGGACCCTCAAGAGCAAGCTGGTGTCCTCACCTATCCTCGCCTATGCCGATTACAAACTGCCGTTTGTAGTACAGACCGATGCGTCCCTGGATGGCCTTGGAGCTGTACTGACTCAGGTGCAAGAAGGTCGCGAACGAGTGGTGGCCTATGCCAGTCGAAGCCTGTCTACAGCGGAAAAGAGATACCCGGCGCACAAACTGGAGTTTCGTGCACTACACTGGGCTCTGACTGACAAGTTTAGGGACTATCTCTACGGTCACCATGTAACAGCTATCACGGACAACAATCCCTTAACATATGTCCTGAAGAGGGCGAAGTTGGATGCCAACGGCCAACGCTGGGTGAATGACCTCTCTCTCTTCAATCTTGATATTCGGTACCGACCAGGAAAGGCCAACAGCAATGCCGATGCCCTATCAAGAATACCACGGGAGGAGGTAGCTCGCATCCTAGACTCCACAGAAGGAGGAGAACCTGCAGGCCAGAGCCCTGTGAAAGAGGCCACCGTGACGGCAGAGGTACATGTGGGTGTAACAGCAGCAGCAGCAAGAGCAGAAGACACCCGCCGGATGGATGATGCACATCGAAGCAGCCCTAGCACAAAATCCAGCGAAGAACCCTCTGGATCTGAGCAGGACCACCATCAACTTCCTGACACAAGCCTGATGGAGAATGGCATCGACCTTCTTGAGGCCCAACAGAATGATGCAACAATAAGAAGAGTCACACACCTTAGGTCAACCCGGCAAAGTAAGCCCAGCATGAGGCAGTGCAGACGGGAAGAAAAAGCAGTACAGCGTCTCCTTCGATCCTGGGACCAACTTCATGTCAGCGAGGGTCTGCTTACCTACGACAGAGGTGAAGATAGACAGATGCGTCATATCCCTGTTCTTCCTGAAGCTCTGAAGTCAGAGGTATTGAGGAGGTTGCATGACACGATGGGCCACCTAGGGTTCCAGAAAACACTTCAGCTGGTGAGGAGCCGTTTCTTCTGGACAGGGCTACACACCGATGTAAAGAGGTATGTGGAGGCCTGCAAGCGGTGTGCACTGAGGAAGCTCCCAGACACCAGGAGAAGTGCTGGCTTGCAGAACATCCGGACAGAGCGACCCCTGCAACTCATCTGCATCGACTTCTTAAGCCTAGAAAGATCATCAGGTGGATACGAGAATGTTCTGGTCCTCACTGACCACTTCACGCGCTACGCACAAGCCTACCCCACGAAGGACCAGAAGGCGACAACGGTGGCGAAAATCTTGTGGCAGAAATTCATTGTCAACTATGGTATCCCCGAACAGATTCACTCTGACCAGGGGAGATGTTTTGAGTCGGGGATCGTGAAAGAGCTGTGTCGCCTCCTAGGAGTGCAGAAGTCAAAGACAACTCCGTATCACCCCCAAGGCAACGGCATGACGGAACGATTTAATCGTACACTCCTGTCGATGTTGGGCACCCTTGAGGAGACCGAGAAGAGGAACTGGGCGATGTACACCGAGACATTGACTCATGCTTACAACAGCACACAACACGAGTCAACTGGCCACTCACCTTTCTTCTTAATGTTCCTGAGGGAGCCCAAGCTTGCTGTCGATGTCCAGTTTCCATCCCTGACCCAACGACATGCTGAAGGAGATGCAGATGCTGAACTTCCTATCTTTGTCGAGAATCTTCAGCGACAACTTCATCGAGCCTATCAAGAGGTTGAGGCCAAAGCAGAGAGATCTCGCCAGAAGCAGAAAGAAAACTACGACAAGACAGTCAAGGAAACCACCTTCAATCCTGGGGACAAGGTGCTTCTGGCCAACAAGTCGCTTCGAGGAAAGCACAAGCTGAAAGACAAGTGGGAGGAGACCCCCTACATTGTGGTCAGACGACATCTCCAAGGTCCAGTGTATGTTGTCAGGCAACTTGACTCCATGAAGACGAAGTCTGTCCACAGGAACCTGTTGACAAGATGTCCCTTCCCAGTAGATACACCAGAACACGAGGCTGTACCACTTCTCTCTTCAGATGAGACGTCCTGTGTCATCCGTCCGTCGCCCAAGTATGACGACGCGGCATCTTCATCCATCGATGAACCCCAGCCTAGAGACCAGACATCAGGCTCTAACTCAAGTTCCGATCCTGACGATTCAGCGGATGAAGACTGCCCCTCCAGCTCTGACGAGTCTGTGGAGATTTTCAGCAGACCTAGACGTGTGACCCAGCTACCACTCCGTTTTCGAGACTAGATAATTTTGTGTACTGTATATAACTATTTTTTTTTTATAAGTAATTTTTGTTGTTGTCAGGAGCCAACATTTTAAAGATGGGGAGAGTGTAAAGGAGCAGAAAATAACTTAAAGATTTCCCTAGTTTCAGATCTGCTACCCGTCTTTTTATAGGAGTACACCCCCCTCTTCTCCCGTGTTTAGTTTAGTAGTGGCCTCCCCCTTCCCCCATTGTTTATTCTGGCCCCAACTTCCTGTGTAGCTTTAGTTCATTGACCTAGAGGCTCATTCAGCAGACCAGCATCACACAGGCAAGACATATAAGCCCTACTCTAGCATTGGTGTACATTTTCATCCCGATCACAAGTGTCTGTTCCATTTTTGGTAAGTTTCATGAGTTTTCATTACTTTCCTTATTATTGTATAGTTCCAGTTTTATATTTGCCTTTATGATACTCATATTATCCAGTTCAGTATCATTTTAGCTCCTTTTAAGATAAGAGTTCTTTTTCCTATACATTAAACTGTTTTTGTCTCCACTCTTTTCTTGGAAGTCGTTTTAGCTAGCCTTTTTGTTTAGAAACTTTGAATCTTTTGATGACTGTTAAGTTTTGTTTTGTAACTTCTTAAGTCAGTTTTGACTTATTTCTAGACATTTGAGAAGTCCTTTTCTTGGAAAGTATTGAAAATGTGTGATTTTCTAATAAGTTTTGTAATATAAGTTTGCCCAGGTTTTAATTGCTTGAGTCTAGGATTATCTGCATTTACGTTTCATGTGTATAATATCCTCAGAGTTTAAGTTCCTTTTTCTTGCATTTTGAGTTGATTTTCATATTATTCTAGGGTTTTTAGTTGCTCTTTTTGACTGCATGTACATAGACCTGTATTCATTTAGCCTAGACCATGCCTTAATCCTTTGTTCCCTCCTTCCTAGAAGTAATAGTTTATTGAGACAGTCCAGAGGATTAGCATACATAATGAGGCCCATTGAACTGTGCAGGATCTTGAAGTTTATATGCGTTAATCCCTTGTGCACACAGTGGTAAACTTGCATTTGGACCTTATGTTGCTTAGAGGATACTTTAGTACATGGACTGTAGTTTCATAGGAGTTTTGTTTTATAAGAACTGTTTTTAAATTGCCATTTGTTTCTTATTTTCTTGTTGCAGGTTTTTAGTTCATTCCTGTGCTTTTAGAGTCATTTCCTTTAGTGCTGTGTGGGTTTTCTTCTGTTTCTCCCTTTTTTCTTCTTTGGGTTTTATTATTTTAACTTAGTTTTTTTGTAATCATCCCTAAATTTTATCAAATTGTTTATTTTTTTTATCTTTGGCAAATTCTTTTGAGTTTTATTTGCTGTTTTGACCCACAGTGAGATTTTGTTTGGAAGTATTTGAGAAACCTAATTTTCGGAAGGATAGACATTGTTAGTTTTTTTATCTGTTTGAATTAAACATTTTTTGAGAAGTCTATTTTCGTTTCCTTGATTCCTTTTCTTTCTTTTTTTTGTCCCAGTTTAAAAACTAAATCGCGACATAATCATTGGAACCAGGTGTTTTTCTTAGTGATCCATTTTTCCACGTTACACATGCATTCTTCTTAGTACGAACAAACTTAAGCCAACATAGATAAGCCAATAAACAAGTTTAACACTACAGCCAAAGAGGAAGGAGTCGAATTACAAGAATGACCTCGGTGGAATGTGGTCTGATCATACGTGCACAATAAACTACATGTAGTGCTCTATGTTTCGATCAGGTTGAAGTTGTGTGCTTCTGTTTCTACGTACGCATGCTGAAAGCTTATCACGCTTAATAGTAATTGTTCCCGAGTAAAGTAAAGCCAACTGGAATGAATTGGGAATTTACACATGTCGACATCGATTCTCTCCATGACCAGATGTACGAGCACTGACACGCATGTTTCCAGACCTTCGTAGTCGCTACACGTGTGCTACATGGTGTAAAAACGTTTGTGTCGTAAACTTGTGCATGCGTTTCATATGGTATATCAGGGAGAACATTGAGAGACTGTGAGTTTGGAATTGAATCGGACATGTTTCGCTTTCGATAATGATCAAGCATGACAAACTGAATAAAACCTAATGAACCTCGCACATCGACGCAGTGGATGGGACTGATCTGAATTTCAGACGAATTCAGGATTGAGAGCCTGCGGGACTGACAAGTCGTTCGCTCGAATCACGGACTTCGCTTCATTGATAGACCTAAACTTTGAACTCTGTGCTCTGTGCCGAACATGGCGTCCCAGTCTGAGTTTCCCTCAAGAAGACCCTTGTGGAGTACGTATTGGTGTCAGACCCCTCGCCTGCCATGCTTGCTGTTGTTCTTTGGGTTCTTGTTAGTTGGCGGACTCTTTTTACACGTATATGGTAAGTCAGGCTGGATAGAGGTATACGATTTGTTCATGCTGAGGCTTGTAATGACCGTTTCTCGGTGGAGGGGGTGTGGTAGTGAGCTATTGTCATGATTGTGATGTGGGGTTGGAGGGGGTGTATGTTCCTCTCCACGAATTTTCCACAACCCTTCAATCTTTGTATTTGTCCCTCAAATTAAAATCTCCCCCATTTTTTAAATACACGTCAGGATTAATAATTGTTGTTTTAGCCCCACTAGAAATCAGCCTTTTCGAGACCGGATGCTGGTTCAATTATATCTTTATTGATGTTGGGAAAACCCAACCCTTTATGCCCATTGAAAGGTACAATAATTGTTTGTCTCTTCATAGAAGCCAAGTAGATTTCACAAGGTATTCAGTAAAAATACCAATATGTTACTGATGTATCAATTTTGAAAGTAAATTGGCACATTGCAAAATGTTGTTTTTTCCCCCTGTATGTGCAAATTAGACTGGTTCTGGGTCCCTCCATAACTCTCACTCTAATTCAGGAACAAGTCCATATGCCCCCCTTTTTTTTTGGCGGGGGGGGGGGGGGGGCGCTGAAAAGGAACTTAAGAGATTGATATCTGGTTGTTTTTTTTAATGATTAATTCGATTGTGTGTAATTTTAAGCATTTCATGCAGTGTGTTTCGGGAATGACTGGTGCATGGCATTTAGTGAGTTATGATCTCGACTGGTTGTGATACGGGTTAAAAATAGGCAAAAGTTTGACTGAAACATGCTAAAAAGTGTACCTCCCATATTTATAATGTACATTCCACGCCCCCCCCCGCTCCAATAGTTGAATTTCCAATGAACATTAGAGCTGAGTATTCCCAAGCTATAATTGCACACTAGTGTTAAATTCACAGGGTGAAACAAACTGAGCTGCGCGCGGTACTGCGGTAACACCTGGAATAATGTATTGACCATCGTGAGTCGATATGAACTGTTAACTGGCCCAAAAATCAATACATGTACTATAAAGAGTGGATACAATTAAATCGATCATGGGTAGGCTTATTTTATGTTCGTATTTTTATGATGTGCTGCTCGTCTAAAAACCACTCCTTTTATAGCCTAATTATGTGTATTCATGACACTGGGGAAACAGTATACACTAGACCATTATCATGTTGCGGCCGTCATGATTTTTTCCCATTCAATTCAACGTATCCAAAGCGAGGCTGGAAGGAAAAATAGTCTGGTTCCTTTTTGCGCAAAAACATTATCATCCAGTACTGTTATTGGATATAGGGAACATGATTGAAATGGTGACAGCATGATAAAGGTCTATTGGACGATGGGAAGTCAAACCAATGGTATTTCCGGCGATGGCCAAGATAAAGACTTAAAATATTCACCAAACTGTTTTGTCCTTCACATCAGGAAATTTGAGCTACACCTGGGGCGACCTCTAAGCAAAACTACATCAAAGTATTGGGACTAGCCCCCCCCCCCCACCCACACACACAATATTGTGTTAATCAAACATTTTGATTAACAAAAAACCCTGTGTATTATAAGCTTTTGTACAGTTTTGAAAAGCTTGGGAAAATGAAAAAGGAAATCTATACACACTGTATAAGAATTACTGAATGAACAGGGCAGTTTTACTTTTTGTTGTCAAAAGGTTTTACATGGTTAAAATGAGTCTGCAGACGCTATGGACAGACATACAAATATTTCTGGAGAATGTCGACACATGCAGTCGCGTTTGTTAACACAATCTTGCTGTTTAGGCCTAAAACTACGTGAAATATTCAGTCAATTGAAATTTCGGAAACGTTTTGGTGACTATCCGGCTTTCATGGCTGTCGACCGCTTTTAAATGTCTCTCGAGACGTCCCAATCAAAATCTCGCGTGACCACCGAATCTCGCGAGACTGATCTTTGGTACCACGGCCAAGTGGCTCGCGTTCATTGATGCGTGAGTACGTCCTCAGCTGTGCTCAGCGTTCCTTGGTGTGAAGGCGCCAGAAAGATGTGAAATAATTCCGACAAGCGTATGGGCATCTGTCAACTCAATTATTGGCAAAAACATGCAAGGACTTGTTATTTTATAATGCTGATAAAACGGGGGATCTTTGCAGTGCTTGTAAAGGGATGCACCGAGTTTTGGTTAGGTGGCTAATTAGTCTTTGCCCAAGACGTCAGTGATCAAGAGCGATAGTTGCATTGTTGTGTAGCGCCCTTGGTTGGTTTGTTACTTTCTCTCACTAACGTCTTGGTCATTTCGTAGCAATGGGGGCGGGGCCATTTTATGTAAATAAGACCGTCTCTATAAATTCGAGCATTTACAGTTCCTTTTTATAGCTCCATGCTTGATCACCGCACGTATAGTGCGTGTATATTGACAACCGTCGGGCGAGCCATTGAACCTTTTCTTGATCACTGATTGGTTCCCTAGGAAAGCGATGATGCTTGACCACGTACCGCACGTAGCGCGTATGTTTACAACCGTTGGGCGAGCCATTGAACCTTTTCTCGATTGCTGATTGGTTCCCTAGGAAAGCCTAGGGAGAAAATAAAGAAAAAGTTAAACCGCTGAAACGAAATGGCCAAGACGTTAGTGCGAGTGGGTCCGCTGGTATTCGCTCGTACCCCCCGCCCTGCAAACAGGTACGTGCGAAACGCTGGCACTGTGTGTGCCATTAGGGGGCGCACTATGCACCGTCCACTATCAATCACTAGCGTCTTGGGCCAAGACTAGTGGCTAATGGGCTTCAAGGTAATGCATGATGTTAGTTATTGGTTGGGGCATGGTTGGAAATAATAACTTACATTAAGACACGATTTACATAAATACATCCTTATAAATAAATTTGATTAGAATAATATATAATTTATATAGGTACATGTACACTCCAAAAATATATATTTGTTTGGAAAACAAAACTTTTCGCTGTTACTTAAACTGAATATTGAAAACAGCTCTCTTTTGTAAACTGTAATTGTGTTATTTATTAAAAACCTCATGTGGACCTTCGTCAGTCAACCTCTCGAGTGTACATGTATGTCTCTTGGTTCAAGCTAAGACAATTTTGTTTTCCCGCCCGTTTTGCATCAATAATTCATTATAATTACACGAGGTTATGCCTTGCGCAGATGTCTCTAAAGACGAGTCATATAAACGCAAAGGCCAGTCAGCACACGGTTGGGCGCGCGCGAGGCACCGGTGTGTGACGACTGATGATTTTCAGCCGCTCGCCAAGATTACCGCTAGTTTCAAGTATACAATCCATTACTAAGTGCAATGAGACAAAAAGGGCTCATTCATTTATTTTCCAACCATTATGTATGCTTCATGTATTTGAAATTGCCATTAAATTCACTTCGCTTGATCCGAGTGCTTAACCGGAACGGAAGTGTGCTGTTATTTTTGGCCGAAGAGAACACAAAAATGGTCGACATGAATAATTGTCTTCGAAAAAAAACAACCATCTTTGTCCCAAGCAGTAAATCAAATTCGACGAATCTGTAGCAGCGATGGTAAAACCTATAAAGTGAAGAGAGCAATGTTTTTGGTTGAAACAGAAAAGAAGAATATGTTTTGCAGATGCTCGTGATATAGATGGTGCACATAGCGGAATGCGAAGCCACGGATATCTCACATTTTGATGTGTTCGTGAACATTGGACTAGCAAACCAAACATCTAGGCCAAAAGGCAATTGCAAAATGGTGAAAAACAAAGTTTAAGGCAAAAAAATTACATGGATTGTTATACAGGGTGGTGCAAAAAGAAGGCAACCCACATTTGACAGCAATTTTCACCTACTTGATGAGCATTTAAAAAAAAATCAATTAAATGGTAGTAAAATAATGATCTTTAAATTATTGCAAATGCAAATTATTGCAATTTTCATGTGTCAAACCTGTTTGTCCACGGACGGCTTTATTCCATCTGCTTGACTGAGCTCCGGAGCTTCATTTGAAGACAAAAACACTACACTAGACTTACATGCGGACAACAGTGATTTTGGTTATTTGCACTCAAATTAGCATAATAACACTGGTATTGTGATTTTTTAGAAGATTTTTTTCACCACGTATGGTTGAAGAGATATACTTCACTACATAATAAAAAACAACAGTTAAAATAACTTAAGTAAGTTGGTTAAAAATCCTATCAAAAGTGGCTTTCCTTCTTTTTGGTATGGTTCAGACATGGCCACTGACTAGAGAACCTGTTAAACAGTGCAGCGAATGGCTACATGTACTAAGAAATATGTTTTTATTATTTTGTCTGCTTTGCCATAGAATGTCTGCCAAGATAACTGACATAATTAATACCCGAACAGTTGAGACCATGTTTCATGATGTTGTCTTGCTGCAAATACAACGGAATTGGCTCGTAAAACATCAAAATGAAAACATGTCACATCTTGTTGACTTCACAATTATGTTGATTGATAAAATGTATATTGTTAAGTTTTGACCATAATTATTATTATTTGTTTAATCTGTATAGGACCTGTGGCAGTGAATTTAGAGTGGAGTGCGGATAGAACGTACCAGTATACCAACTCACATCTGTATCCACGGGTGACACGGGTAAGATACATTACAGGGCAAAAATGTAGGAAAAGAAAGTGGTTTTGATGAAAGGATTTCCTGTAGATCGGGCAAAATATAATTAATGGTTGCAGGGTTTGTATACACGACGAAGGAGATTTAAATGCATTAAACAAAAGCGAACATGATTATCAACGCAACTTGATCCAAAACCAAATGTGCAAATGTATACCAAATTTATGAGTACCATCAACATCCTTCTCTATTTTACAGGCTCCATGTAACGCAACGTGTAGATGGCTCCGTGAACAACAAAGGAGGAAGCAACGCGTCTCATCTACATGCAACTCCTACAGAAACTCGTCAACTGCGGATCTCAGTTACACTTTGACCTCCAAACTCTTGAAGACGATGAAGCATTTCTTGGTGCTCGACTCGCACAAGTTAATCTACTGCTACATCCCTAAAGTTGGTTGCACCAACTGGAAGCGAATCTTTCTGGTTCTAAGCGGTGCCATGGATCACACCAACATGACCACGCAGTATGAGACGCACCTCAGTGCTCAGAAGAACATCCGAACGCTGGCCGAGTATTCCCTGGAGGAGGCTAAACAGCGTTTGGCCAATTACACAAAATTCATGTTCGCGCGGCACCCGTTCGAGCGGCTCTTGTCGGGGTACCGGGACAAGTTCCTGATGGACTACCCTTCAAGCACGATCTTCAGAAAGAACTACGGGCCGAAGATTTCGTCTTACGGGGACCCGAGACAGAGACGACCCACATTGCGATCCGATGGAACGTTGAACGTGTCCTTCGCTCAGTTTGCACAGTACCTGGCGGACCCTGCCAACAAGTTCCGCGGTAACGATCCCACGGAACATTGGAACGAAATGTACCGCATGTGTCACCCATGCGCGGTCACTTACGATATCTTAGGGAATTTCTCCACTCTTCACGAGGATGCAGACTTCTTCTTACACCTTCAAGGACTAGACGGCAAGGTGTCTTACCCGAAGTCCACCAATCCAACCAACAGCTCCGACGAGCAGTACCTGGCCAAATATTTCGCGAAATTACTGCCGGCTGATATCGAGGCTTTACTTGCTCGGTACTCCGTTGACTTTGAATTATTCGGCTATACCGCTCCGTCTTCAGTACAAACAATTCTTCAAGGACGAAGTAACCTTCCACGATGGGCTGATGTAGCTTAAGTGGACTTCCATGATCGGATGAGAACAATGCAACACGGCTTAATCACTTGACGATGTGGCCGGTAACATATGCATCGTAAAAACTGTTGCTATACATGTATTGACCTTTATCATGCTGCCACCATTCCAGTCATGTTCTCTGTATCCAATAACAGTACTGAATGATAATGTTTTTTTTGTGCAAAAAGGAACCAGACTATTTTCCCTTTCAGCCTCGCTTTGGTTACGTTGATTTGAATGGGGGAAAAATCAAGATGGCCGCAACATGATTAATGGTCTTCAAGAGAAATTTTGCCTGTTTTGGTAGCCTCCTTTCTCAAAATGCTCACAAAAAGTCATGTTTAGTCGTAGCTGTCGCAAGGCGATCCCTATAGCGCCGCCCTATAGACTGACATACAATGGACAACTCAACACGTAAACCAAAAGACTAAAACTCAGATTTTACTATAGAATAATCTAACATAATTTAATAGCAAATAATCAAAAATAAGAAAATACAACAAATGAAGAATTTAATACAATAAATAAAACAAGCCGGCGCTAGAATGGATGCTGACTGCGTGGCTTGAACCGGCCCCTCAATTGGTTGAACCCTGGGTTGAGTTGAAGAGTAATCCGCATGAAAAGACCCTCATGAATGATGACCCCGAATATGACTGTGGAGCTGAACACCACACCCCGTATAACTGGATACAGGAACCCCCTGAAAGTATGAATTAACATTCGATTGTTTTAACAAAAACTCGACCCTATTATTTTGTCAATTCAGTTCCTGACACAAACATTAAAAACCTCAGCTTACAAATTGGTTTTCCTGAGAGAAACACATTCAAAATTTTACTTGATTATCACTTTGTCTCACTCAGTTTGATCATGGAAAACTTTATCTTCTTTACTTTGTTTATTTTGTTATTTTTATTTGTCTTTTTTGGTCGAATCGGCACCGCAATGAATACACAGGAAATAGATCACGTGCGCGGTGCGCCCTCACTGAGGCTAGGCTTTGTCATATTCACTGACAATGAAAGTACATGTACAAAGGGTTTACTCGTTTGTAAAGAGGATCAAAGACCTGCCCTCTGATGATGCGCCCAATGCAAGGGTGTTTGCAAAACAATTCCTTACATGATTAATTTCGCACTCTGCCTTAAGGTGGTTCTTATTTCTACCAAAGAAAGATTTGACATCACTAAAGTCTCGTCACACTTCATGTTCGACGTGACATCGGAATCCCTCTTTGAGGACAAGTGACAACTCGGATTATCACGTGACCGTATTCGGGAGGGGGTTGCAAACACTCTGGGAACGACATCGTCAGAGTGGCCAAGTCCGTATTTTGTATGTTACGCGGCTCTGTTATGCAGCTGCTGCACAGCCTATGCACAAATGCTAGTCCATTTTGGGGGGGGGGGGGGGCAACACACGTTTTAAAGGTTATGTACACACACTTCCGGTTTTGATGGTCCCTGAGGGCCAGCCTAGCGGCCTCTTTCTACCTGAAATCTATCGGGCTCCAATCAACTGTATGCAGCAATCAACTTACTGACGTTTTATGTCCCGCAGTCGTGAATTTCCATGTATCATTGGCAGGCCGATACTCGTAGATCGAGACATTTTAATGACTCTTACGTTCTGTACCCTTGGCAGGATATGGTTTACTTTTATTTATTGTGATGAGGTTTTAATGTGTTGGACTGTTGATGTACAGGGAGTTTGGATGATAACATAATTTTAAGACATTTGCGAATTGAATTGTGTTATTTGCTTTCATTAAAAGGCTACTTGATTGTCAATATACATATACAAAGAGTAAACTTGATAAATTAATATTCTCATCAAGTGCACTATACCAGTTCATCGCCCGTAATTGCGGTGACCAGTCAGATCAAGGGGAATCAGATCTCCCAGGGTCTGTACTGTTAAGATCAAGGTTGAAAAACAGACCCTTTCTGCGAGGCCGACTCGACCAGAATCTGTTCACGTTTCACCACAACCCTGTGCATGACATGCATAGTGTATCAGCCTGTTCTTATAAACTGTGCTTTTCCGACACAAGGGAACGAGAGAACCTTTGCCCCTCTTGCCGGATGTGAATCATCAGTCAATAAACCCCTTCCTCCTATGCATCAGCCGCCATTTTGAACTACAGAAAGAGAGAAATACAGTGTTCAGATTTTGGCTAGTTTAGTATGTTTTGGCTTCGAATCGGAACGCCATGGGCTCAAACTAAAAGCAACAAAGTATTGAAACCAGCTCAGCCCAAACTAACATCAAATCACAGTGACAAGACGTCGCTTTTGGAGCGAACAGAGGCGGTACAATGTTCATCTCTGAAATCAGTTCTTTGAAAGCCAACTCTCTAGTCTTGCACGAAAATATCGAACGATTTTGCAGTTTAAGTGATGTTTTTAATTAAAAGGGACCTAGATCGGAGTCTGGTAGGTCAATGGCAGTATGCATGCAGCCAGCACGGCGACTTGGCAGGATGATCGGAAACAAACGAATCTTCGTCTGCTGTGTGTTCCTGACGCTGGCTGCGGTTGTATACTTCGTCGTCAAGCAACCTCATGGTTATCCCATGTATTCAGGTATGTGCAATATGTTTCCCTTTTGTTGGAAAACCATTTCTAAAGCTTTGACACCCTTTTATTAAATCCTAACATATTGTATTCTGAGCCTCATACGGACAGGCAACAACGGGAATTCTCTCTTAAAATCTCTTTTGATGTATGTTTTGGGCAAGTGAACCTCTTTAAGTGTTTTCCGTTACGAAATGTCCAAATTTGGGATCCTTTATACCCAAAGCTCTGTCAAAAGGGGGCTGGTACCATCTGTCGGGGGAGGGGGGGGGCCTAGTACCATGGGGGCGCTGTTCAAAACCGACCATTATGGGGCTATTCACGGCGATACGTGCGTCAAATTAAAAAAAAGGCACCCAAACGGCCGCTGGCACAAAAAGGGCGCCAATTCTTTTAAAAAAGGGCACTGGTGCAAAAAAAAGGGCACTTCTTAATAAAAAGGGGCACTCCTACAAAGATATTGGGGCGGGGGGGGGGGGGGGTAAGCGCCAGTGAAAAGGGCATTTCAATGGAAAAAGGTGGGGGGTTCAATACCCCCTTACCCCCCTCCCCCCCCGCTGGCTACGCCTATGCTATGACATGTATTTGGTTTGGAAATCGTAGGCCTGATACCAATTCAGAAGCAAGAGATGACACCGAACCGCAGACAAGGCCGCAGTTGAACCCCTGATTGACTCCGCGTAAGGTTAGCTTACACGATAGCCGATAAAGGACACTATGCGCGAACACTTTACCATAATCGCGTTTTGTCTGACACAACGGACGGACCTGCCATATTGTGCAATTTGTCACTGACCTCTAACTGGAATTGATGGCAATGTGCGGGTATTAAAGCAGCGTCCGCAATCGTGGGTCACCCATGACGCACGCGCCTTAATTGCGAATATTTTATTGGTATTTCTGCTCCTGTGAGAGATACAAGGCTGCAAAAATAAGAACTGTATTTTTGGACCTGAATTTGAGATTTAAACTATTCCACTATTAGTAATGGCCAACATCAAAAGAATAATTGAGTGTTATGTGAATTGTTTTAAATTGTTTTAAGTGGGGGGATCTGTTGCTTTAAGGCGCACTGGCCATTTACCGAGTGGCTTCCTGTCCAGTTAGTCTAAAGTTCAGTGCATTTTATCTTCTGATGGCATGAATACAAAAAAAAATACCTCATGCTATAAAGTCATGCTATTATCATTCATTTATCTGATTGACATGACTAATGTTTCAGTGGTATGATTCTTTTCACTGTCACAGGCAGAATACTGCAGATGTCAGGAAAGGGATTGGACCTTCAGGATACAAGACAACTGTTCACCTTGAATGTGAGTACAGAATCACCCACGCACGGCACAAACCTTTTGATATTCGCATGGCATTCTTCATTAATGTTTGAATAACAAGGCAAGTAATGTACAAACAAGTAAATTGGAAGACACGTTTTCTAGTTTTTAGACCATGGTATTCAAAACGTACGGGACTGAATTTCCATGCGAACGTGAACAGAAGATGGTCATGTATCATTATCCTCGATGTTCCTGACTTTACTTTTTTTGCAGCCTCCAGACACCAATCATTCAAGAAGCTGGGAAGACGAGCAGGTACACCGTAGAAAGCTCATATCAGACACCTGTCGTGCTGCGAAAAAAAGATCCAAAGACATCTACCCACGACTGGAATACGATTTCAGCAAGGTCCACAGTGAACGGTGGCTGAAGTTCTTGTTAGTCGTAGACTCCCTCAAGATGGTCTACTGCTATGTCCCTAAAGTAGGAACGACGAGCTGGAAAAGACTACTACTCGTCCTGGAGGGGAGGGTTAACTCAACGGAGGAACTGGGTCAGAAGAAGACCCATAACTTGACCGTCTCTTTCATGCGGAACCTTAACTCGTACACGCCGGAGGAGGCAAAGTGGGTCCTGACCAACTACAAGAAGTTCCTCTTTGTCCGGAACCCTTTCGAGAGGATCCTGTCTGCCTACCAGGATAAGTTCCAGAACGACTACCCGGCCAGCAAGATCTTCCGCACTGTGTGGAGCGAGATGATTATACGGTACAGCGGAGGAGATTTGAGTGAGGCAAGGCAGCGAAGGCAGGACGGCACGCTCAACGTCACCTTCCCGCAGTTCGCTCGCTTCGTGGCGGACTCGAATTCATTAGTCTCAGGAGGTCGAGTTTACAATCAGCGAAACGAACACTGGATGGAAGCTTACAGGGTATGCCACCCGTGTGCCATCGACTATGACTGGGTCGGTCACTACGACTCCATGCATACTGATGCTGACAGGATACTCCGTGCAGTAGGGGTGGATACAGCGGTCAGGTTCCCTAATTTTACCACTAATCCCACGGGTAGCTCCAGCTACGACACGCTGCGACGTTACTACTCGCAGTTGTCTACGGAGGAGATTGTGGCCATCTACCGCAATTATATTCTGGACTTCACCATGTTCGGCTTTGATATACCGGAACCCATCAAGGCAATTCTCGGTTAAAACAGATTTACAACATGTATATAATTACACTTGCTCTGGATTTCTTTTAAATTTGATTTTCAAAGATTAAAATGGTGTATTACGTACGCAGACACATAGTGTTATGTATAATGGTAAATGGTTGAGCTTGAACATTATGGGGAAATGCTGTCTTCAATGATTTCTAACATGTCTTCTGGCAATTTATCTTAAAAAAAAGAAAAAAAAACCCAATTATCTGATGTGCGCAGGTCCAAGCCATAATCGCAGGATTTTAGAAGGGTTAGGGGCGTAAAGGCCCATGGAGTGTTTTATGATGTACAAACATCTGGCTGGAGGCTCATTTTCTTGTAGGGGCACTCGGTGTTTTTTTTTTTTTTTTTTTTTTTTACAATGAAAAGCTCGTTTTGGCCTTCCCTAAATGCTGAGCGGGGGGGGGGGGGGGGGGGGGGGGTGGGGGGGTGGATGTGCTCGCATAAATTCCCTCCTCGTATAGATTATCAAAATAAATGAAGGACCCCTTCTCACAGTCAGGGCATTGCTAGAGTTCTTGGCCTCCGTGCCAAAGTACGTACCCCCTCAACGGTGGCAGAACGGATGGAAGGACACCTCGGTGTCTTTTGCCGGCGTGAGACACGGGTATACATGTACAGGTAACGCCACTGATGTGGCACGCATGTAAATATGGTACTTTTGGGGCATGATGTTGATATGGTGAAAAGTTCAGTGTTTGTTTGTATGTGATACATGTACAGGAGTGTTGTCAAAGTCCGACTTGAGTGAAGTCTAATTAGCCGAGTACAACACAAAACAAAAACGGATAACTTAAACGAAGACCGTCGTTTTCGTTCAATGTCTCATTGGATAGCACTTAATATTCAATTGTTCAATATTCAATGCACGGGGACACTCCGCTCTTTAATAAACTACTTTGGTGCGCATGTCGGCCTCAGGGCACACACATCAGCTTGATTCGTTTATACACTGTTCATTTGATGAAGTGCGTAGCTCTCCCAGTAGTTCAGCCAGACGCCAGCGAAGGACGCCCAAGGAAATCCAATTAAGTTCCCAACCAGCATATGACAGGATTATTACGTATGCCGTCCATGACGACTGGCGAAGCCCCCCGAGACGAGATCCGATCCGAAGCGACGTCCGTGAATCGTGTTATTTTTCCAGCATAATCTTCTTCCCGTCCCACGCTACTACACTTTTTTTTCTGGGATGCTGTTAATTTATGTAGAGGCAATATAGTGCGCTGACCATGATTTCACTGTTGTGTGTCAAATTGGTGACGCGAAGGTCAGGCTGACAAAATTATGAATGAAACTTTTGATCGGGCAAAAGCAAATTGTAGATTGCGAACTCAGGGCAAAGCCTGCAAGCCATTTGTGTTAACATAGAGGCTGTAATTACTGTAATGTACACACTGTACAGAAAGGTTGAATTATAAAAGGGGGGAAAAGGGTTTTCTGGGAACTTTAGGAGCTCAAACTGTGACCGTTAATTCGCGACCGACCCCCTTCTTTCAAAATCGTCGATCGTACCACGATCTGACCTATCTGAATTTTTGACGAATTTGGGTTTTTAGCATATTCTGGTTATGCATGATGAAATCTTTATTTTCTGAAAATTTCAAATTCATAAGTGGCCTAATTAGCTCATTAAGCTGATTCGTGAAACGCGTAAACAACACTGTCAGTTTTCCACGAAGTGACTTATAGAGTCTGGTACCTGGATTTAATGTGGTCCCCATCACTTTCTTATGAAATTGAGTTACTAGGGGCCAGTCTTTAGCGTTATCAGAAACAATGGCGGCGTACACATGTCGTTTGATGGCTGAACGAAACTAGCAAGTTTCAACCGAGTTTCTGATTCTGTAAACGTCTGTAAGTATATTCCTTCTGTATTTTGATTACTCGTATTGCAATATGTTCGTGTTGGGCTTTGTCTAAATACATGTTTTGCAGAGACTCGTGTGTATGATAGCACAACATCCTACACTAATTAGTCCATTGGCGTACTGTAGTGTAGACGGTAGTGGGTAGTCATAATCAGTCAGAATAACACTTGAGTGGGGTTCGATTCCGAACTAATGCTTTTTAATGACATCTCGGTTGATATTTACGTTGATTCACTGACTGTCCTTTCGGGAAAATATTTATGAAATAAAAGGGCCAAACTAAGGTTGCTTTTTTAATATTATGATTCGTGATTGGTTTGGTTTGTTTGTGTTACAGAATGTGGATGTCTCAGTGGTTAATTGCAGCCAAAAGTTTATACAGAGCACCATTCGTCTACATAATTGAATGAAGTTTTGAAAAAGCTTCGTTGAAAGGAAAGTGATCGATTCCTGGAGCATGAATGTAAGCAATTTTTTTTTAACATAAAGGTTATTATTTAACCTTTCATACTTTTGCTGCTTATTATTTTGGTTTTATACTGCCCGGCTCAGATCAAAAAGAGCATTGCGTCTGTTCTTCGTTTTCACGTTTCGTGCTTCGTTTCTCTCTTTTTAAATGTTGATTTAGTACTCCAGTCTTGCTACAATTCTAAAGTCAATGCAGATAAGAATATTAATGGGGTGAACTGCAAAAAAGTTGAATTCAGTTGCTATGATTTGTTTTAGTTAATATTGCAAAACATGTGAAAATCAAAAAAAGACACAGACTGCAAGGATAGTGACACCAGACATTAAACACATTCTGAATGATTTATCAATGATTCCCTTTGACAAACTGTAATTGTTTTATATTGATTTTCCATGTCGACTATATTAAAAGAAAAAAATCCAAATAAATGTTCATGTAGATTCTAAATTTAAATTTAATTACTGAATGCATGAACCACCTGCCACAGTCTGCCTCGGAATGTAACGGAAAAAATGCTCAGCCTTAAAACATAGGGCGACTACTGATTGCCGATAAAATGTTGAGTGAATGTATTTCTATTCTTTTTTGTGTGCATTTCTCCAGATTTTCGATGTTTTGTGCTTGTTACTCCACAATCTTTGAACCAGGAGCTGTTCCTTAGCCGTCACTGGTTTCACCTTTGATCTACATCCTTCACTAATGCCAGACTTATCTTGAAATATTAAGAGTTACCTCTTTTATTGTCAGTTCTCGCACTATTTCATTTATGCACCTAAAGTTTGAAGTAAAACTAAAAACTAAAAACAGTAATTAAGAACAAATAAAGGAAATCCATTGCTAAGAACGTTTCAAGTAAAGTCTTTATTTTTAAATTTGAAAGATTGCTGAGAACAACTCTTTGCACTGCCTCTCTGTTGAACTCCTTACATCAGACCTGCATCATGATGGTCATTCCCAGTTCAAACATCAAGGCAGTACTTGTCTTTCTACATAATGAATTTGTTTCTTAGATTTACTTTTCTATCCCTTGAGTGGCCCTTAAATATGGCCTGTTCTGATAGTCGACTCTCAAAAAAAACAAAAACTTCATTGTATTAACGCCAGTGTTGGAGGTCTCGAGGCCGGCCTCGGCCTCGAGGCCGGCCTCGAGGCCGATTTTCATGGCCTTGGCCTCGGCCTTGGCCTCGGAGGTGCAAGGCCTCGGCCTTGGCCTTGGCCTCGGAGCCTTCCGGCCTCGGCGAATCGTTCGAGGCCGGCTCGAGGCCGCCCATTTTAATGAGTTTTCTATTCTAATTAATTTTAATTTTTTACCGTATCAAACCCTCGAGATTCTGCCGCAGTGGGTTCCGTGAAACGAACGCATATACAATGTACGCACGAATGAACTGGAAATGGTTGCATTGAACGTACTCACGTACGTGTACGTAGCATCTTCGCCTAGCCTGCGCTTCAGCTTTCTACGTGCGTGCAAACGTTATAACTGTTACCGCGTGCCAGACTACATAAGTCTGGCACCAATTCCATCTGCGTACAATAACATGTGGTAGTAGACTAGTCTGGTTGCAGTATTGTACAACATTTTCTCGTTTCGCCTCTGTACCCCGACCTTTAAAAATGATTTGCGGCAAGGTGCGGCAAGCTTAATTATTTTTTTTTTTTTATAGGCCACTGTTTTAAGTAAAAGTCTGAACTTTCTGGGTACGATCGAGTGTACTGGTCTGTACCATTTTTTTTTCATAAAGATATGAAAAACGGTTTCGATTCATCAAGTAGATTTTATTTTTACACGGTGATTTAAATGAAAGTTCCGGCTCACACGGTAATGTTTGGCGCAAATGGTCGATATGGAAAGCGCGATTTCAGAATTCGTTTTTCCATCCAAATGAATGCGAAGTTCTGAATGAATGTTTTAATAATAGGAGTCAGTATTCCTCGTGGTACCAGGATACTTTTTTTGTATTTTTAGAGCCATGTTGATACTTATTACATGTATAAGCACGGTTTAAAATTGACTAATTTTGCGTGGTTACAGAAATACGGCCAAAACATCTGGACTCCCTACCTCTTGCCATGATCTTAAAATTCTTCGAAGCCATTGGATTCAAATCGGATGATCCGAGAATTCATGGTCATTTGATGAACTGAGTGATTTCATGCACGCATGTTCCGTGTTGCCGTGTTGTTTGGAGTGGGATTGGTCATTGCCAGACTTTGTCTGGTACCGCGGTATTTATAACAGTGATAATGCGTGGACACTTATCCCATTGTGTGGAGCGGGATTGGAACTATGCTTTGCCCGTGCGTAACGGCGGGCCGTCTGGCATTGTCTGGTCGCATCGCGGTGTTTCCTCGGCGCGCGCCTGGACAGTGCGAAGGTCGGGGGGGGGGGGTCGAAACTTTTTGGTTATGAGTGGTAAAAACCTGATTCAAAAATCAAGTTGTTGTTTATTTAATGGGGATTCCTATGATATTAAGCATTTTGATAGGTTTTGAAAATAAGATTTATAAAACATGCTAAAAGTAAATAATGTAAATCTGACAGAATAAAAACTCAAAATTTGGCCATTTAAATTGTTGTATCTCCAAAGGGCAAACACCTATGAGCCTGATTCAAACGCCATTGATTTTGTTGTGCAATTTGCTTTCAGTGATACAAAACTTGAGATTTCTTACTTTAAAAAATAAAATTCGCGGGACTCCCTACAAGAGGAAATTACCCTATGCAAGCTGTAAATTTGTAAGCCAGGCACTCCAAAACTCAGTGAATTCAAATAAAAATATGTTAAAACTCCAACATAATCTTAGCCTTGTTTTAGTGATTTATATTTTATTACATGTTTTGACAGCCGGCCTCGGCCTCGGCCTTGGCCTTGGAGGTGGTGGCCTCGGCCTTGGCCTTGCGGTTGCGGCCTTGGCCTCGGCCTCGGCCTTGGCCTCGGAGGTTGTGGCCTCGGCCTTGGCCTCGGCCTCGGAGGTTGTGGCCTCGACTACAACACTGATTAACGCGACTAAACATCCCATTTATATTCAGTTTTGAAGTTTTTGAGCATTGTTAATTAAAGGGAAGATACAACATTTGCAAACATCACAAAACGAAATGATCAAATTATCACAAAATACCCTACTGGATTGTTAGGGAATAACAGTCTAAAGCATCCTGTAAAATCGTGGCTCCTGGTGTGCTGACATTTTCAAGAAAATGGTATTTTTGTATCAATTTCCAACGCTGGTCGGCCGACCAGCGTTGGAGAAAACTGGCTTTTTTTCAAAAACTGCTCCAAATTTTTCATAATTAGTTATTCCTCGTTTTCTTTGCAATTGATTACACAAATGTGAAGAGGTACAAGCCTCCTAGACTGATTCTCCGATCTTACAGTTCCCCAAAGTCTATAAATTGCTCCGTTTCATCTTAAGTGGGGTCAGGGAACCAGACTACAAGCAAATGATTGGTTTTCTTCGTTTTACCAGCATCTACAAGCCCAAAACGTGAAACAAGTCATTTTAACAATATCTGCTATAACATACTAATCCTCCAAATCCATTTGTTTCTGAAAACTGCAGCAAAGGCAAATGTTGTACATCCCCTTTAAAATGCAGCCGATTTTTTTGTTTTGAATGTATGTCATTGAGATATATCATTATTTTTTTTTAAGGGGGAGGCTTACAAAGTATCTGCAGAAAATTGCTGTTTTTAGGGAATAATAGGTTTAAATAATGAGAAAGTACACTGTAAAGAATAAACAAAATAGAAAACAAAGATTTGAAGATTATGAGAGTGTACATGTACGTTTATCGTTCTGTTTCAGTGTAACTTGAACTTGTGAGTCTTGTTTAAAAAAAATACCTGTTTTGTCCACGGATTTTATTTCTCGATTTTTTTTTACAGATAAATGGAATAAAATAATGGAAAATAATGGAATAAAAGTACACCTTTACAATGAATTCGTTCAAGAATTATTACTAAGAGGTATACACAATGTATTCAACACGTTTCTATGCACCCCGTTTATATTGAAATTCATTTTCTAATTTCCTTCACTATAACAGCGTTTTAATTTGTAAGAGCTTATTAATCTCTAATAACAATAATATTCAAAACAACAGATTGCAACGAACCTCCATATGACTTAACGTGAAGAGGTCCGCGCGCGCGCATGCGCATATGACGTAAGTCACTATCAGCCACAGAGCTAGAGAAATCGAAATTGTTCGTTTCACAAAGTGACCTATCTGGATAGGTCGCCGTTCGCGCGCATGAAAAATGAAAATTAAATTTTCACGAAGTGACCTATCTAGATAGGTCGCCGTTCGCGCACATGAAATATGAAAATGAAATTTTCACGAAGTGACTTATGGATTTGGCGCCAATCTTTCACCTGGTTATGATGAGTTTTTGCCTTAGAAACAATTTAAAATCATAATTCAACTATCCAACTTTATTATATATAAAAACTGAGTCAACAAAAATTAGTGTTCTGGGTGAAAGAGTGGATGCAAAATAGGCCCAACTTCAAACGCGTTTTTCTCGAAATGGCAAAACTGAGATAGGTCAGATCGTGGTACGATCGACGAAATCTTAACACGGAACTCGTCATGAGCATGAAGGCCACCAAACACCGTCAGAAAAATCGACAGAAAATGCAAGTTCTGGAATCAATCACGACATTAAAATATGATCAGGGAAAATATGGGACACCCTGGTTTTGTTGGAACCTAAAACGGTTTGATATGGGGAATTCTATTCAACTTGAATTGTTGATCTGCACGTGCCCTCTGTCCTGGCATGATTAAAAAGTCAGTATCATTACATTTTTTTTAAAAAATAATTACGTCCGACAGATGGTTCAAAGATATCCTAAATTAAAAGAGCCGCTATAAATTTAAATAGGTTTTGAACACACAGGAATATTGTTGCGGAAACATGAAACACCTCACATCACGGTCTATTGGAAGCACTCGGAGGGCGTAATTAACCTCTGCCAAGGCTTAACAATTCCCCGCCATATGTTTAGTACATCCAACCATAGAGCAAAGGAAATGCTCACTCAGGTTCCGCAACACTTTGTATTACGCTTGTTGAATACAGAATTATCAAGTGCTAGCAGAATTGTGCCATTTCCATATACTGTGTACATTAGGGTCTTAAAGGTAGAGTCCATCATTTGTAATTTGTGCATTTTGTTCGTTTGAAGCAACAAAAGAGTTCAAAATCTAATGAAGGATACTGAGCAACTAACCTGATGAAGTTTCAGCTAAGCTTCAGCTGTACATTCCGAGAAAAACAGCATTCTAAGATCTCAATTTCAAATCAAAAGTTGCTGAATCATGTTTTGAATTGTTTTGAATTGCAACTATACGCGACGTCGCGCACTGATCCGACGAATTATAACAACCGCGCGCGCGTGTGCGTCGATCGAATACTTGTGCGCGCTGCGCTGAATAACAAAACGAACTACTAATTTAAATTTTCCTACGGTGCTTCTTAAGAATCACCGTTGGAAATGCCTTCTTTCGTTGATTACTTCAAAATGACAGCTTCCCAGAAAGAATAATTTCACAGGGAGTTTAGTCTCCTTACTATCTTTCAACCAAGTTAGTTTTTCAACAATAATTACGCCAGTTACTTTTCGGATGGCTGCAAATGATGGACTCTACCTTTAAACGGGGCGTCAATCGCCCGGCAGACGGGCATAATGCGCGTATATGCCCTTAAGCGCGAACGCGTAATCACCTAGCTGTTCCTAGTCTTTAGTCAAGTCCCACGCGCTTACCCGGACACGTGACGCACCCCGGATGCTGACACGTAAAAAGACTACGCTCGTGCTAGTCTTTTTACGTGCCAGCATCCAGGGTGCGTTACGTGTCCGGATGGTTCGGTATAGGCGCGTGGGACTTGACTAAAGGCTAAGCTGTTCCCAGCAAAAGGGCATATGCAAAAAAAAATGGGCGGGTCCATTAGTTTTTTCCTTGGGGGGGGGGGGGGGGGGGGAGGGTTGTCGCAATTTCATGGCCTATGGCACATTTGCACATACAAAATGGTGAAGAATCCTGCATCCAAAATCTAATGGTTCCAATTAGGACCACCCTACACAAATGTTCATAAAAATCTGCCCGCAACTATCCAGTTCACAGCCAAACCATAACCTCCTTGGCGGAGGTAATTATTAAATACTATTTGAAAGGGTACAGCAAGGTCATCTCCTTTTCCCGTGATATGGCGTTAGTAACACCCATAGTATCGCCATCAAAGGGGGTTCCCATTAACTGTGACCTTTTACGAGTGTTTTCAGTGTGTAATGTCATACAGACCGGACCGTGACCTATGACGAAGCCTCATGTATACTTGTACATGTGGTTGAACTAGACGTACGTAAGAACTCGCACGTATAGTAGCCATGTACATGTACATGTACCTAACCTGTGCAATAAAACATTATAAGCACTTGCAAGGCCGTTTGCTCAATATTCCCAAGGACTTAGCGCGCGCTGCGAGACGTCCTGTTTGGCAATGCTGACCGCGTCTGTGCTTGCGGCCGTTCACAACTTGGGAATTCGTTACACGTGTTCAACCCTAAACTACAGGGGCACTATACAAGACAGTGACATGCTACAGTGCATGCAGTCTAGTCGCGAATAAATAGTGAACTTGGGGATGTTTATATGGCTTGACCATGCAGTACGTTGTGTGAATTGAGTGAAGACAACGCACAGCATGTTTGCTACTGGACGAGGAAGTTAGATTCAAACAGCAATGCTGCTCTCCGCTTCAAACAGCAACGCTGACGCAATTTCTACCAAGTCCATGTCTTTATAACAGCACAGCAGATATCAACGCCGTACGGTGTGCATCACATGACATGTACATGTACATGTGCGCCCTCCGTGATCTTTAAAACTGTAGCCCATGGTACAAGTACATGTAGTAAGTGTACAGACTGCAGTTCATTATGAGCAATGTCTCGGGCCGGGCGATGTATGCTCTGCTGTATGGCCGTTGTGGCCGTGACCGTGCTGGTTAGTATTCAACGCTTGGGTCTTCCGGCTAGTATAAAAGGTAGGCAAAAAAAATAACCATTCTTGCAGTTTATTGCTTGCACTTCCGCATTGGACATAATGCCCATTGGAAAGTAATGACATAAACAGGAAACTTAGAGCTACTCTCGATTCGAAAACGTAATGTTATAGTTTATGTTGACACTGCAAAAGCAGCACAATATTATTAATATTATCAAGCAAAACTCCAATGACTAGAATTCACAACTAAGTCACTGCTAGACCGTGGGCCAGAAATCCTATCTTGCCTAGAAAATGAAGTCCGTTCAAGATTTTTGGTGGCAACAAAAAATGCTTGTTCTTTGTCAATTCGAGGGTGCTGAATTCAATTCTTTCTGTTGCCAATCTATCAGGTGGCAGGTTTAAGCACAATCTTCGTTCGAAGTGTTATAACCAAAAACATCCTCTTTTGGGGGCCTCTGACAATACATCGCCTTAAGGATCTCGGCAATGGCCCCTCCGATTTCAATGCAGATTGTCACCAACTTGGAATACTTAATGATAAATAACTGTCAGAGTGTACGCTCATAGCCAAAGGGATTTCAAAATAACGATACTAATGCAAAAACAATGCTTTGACATGCTGTGTATCTATAATTATGTGCAATGTTTTATTACATGTACCACCTGGTTTTCTAGGCATTACTGATTTTATATCCATAAGGCAAACCACACTGTTTCCATAAATGTAAATGACTGAATTGCATGTCACTAAATAGTCTTTGATGCAAAACAAATATCATAATTAAAGTTTATTGTTGTTTTGTTAATTAAGTAGGAAATAATTATTCAGCAAATACATGTAACGCTTTGGTCATATTCAGTGTTGTATGCTTACACAGTATTTTTCCAAAGTATCACTGAAATGTTCCATGTGATGCTGAAAAATAACTTAATTATGTCGTTTATCCAAATTAAACAAACTGTCTAAAACTTGAATTTCAAAAGATTGTAAATCGATGGGAAATAATTACAAATGTATGTAATAATACAGTATTTTTTTCTAGGCATTATTTATTCTCAAATGCAGAGCTGAAAATGCTTTTTGTAGATGACCGAATTACATCATAACCCAACATGAAGTATTTTGATGCCAAAAGTTTCATAATTGTAACGGTTTCACGGTAAATAAAGCATCAAATTATGCAAAACTTAACGCTTGGCTATATTATGCCTTGTTTGTATGCGGACAAATTGTTTTTTCAAGTCATCACTGAACTTCCTTTTAATTCCACAAATGTGAATCTGAAAGACTATTGCAGATACTAAATTATGTCATTAACCTAAAATGAACCGAAAGATTTCACGGTAATTAATTAAGCAGGTATGTACGTGTAATGCTTTTTCAAGACATTATTTAGTTTTTTCTCTTACATTTAGAGCCAGACAGACTATTTGTAGATGATTGGATTGCCATTAGCCTAAAATAAACTCTTTAAAACTGGAACTTGGGTGCTTCATGCGACAGTTTCGACGAAATGTTCTTCAGATCAAATCTTAATAGTCAATGTATACAATTAGTGTTCAGTAATATTACAAAATAAAATGTGACGAAATACAAAGCCGATTTGCACTCAGCACAGTTTGAAATACAAGTTACCTAGCAGCTATCAGTGAAATTTAGTTATCTCTGTTAATTTCAACTTGCAGTTTCAATTGAGAGACTGTACTTCCATATGCAAACTTTCATGCCGAGCTTGTTTGTTTAACTATAAGCTCGACCGAGCTGAAGATAGACTGTTTGCTAGCACTGCAATGTCAGAAACATATGCGTGGCAGAAGTTTCGTGTTTGGTCTGTGAACGAATCATTGTTTGATCTTGGGGTGTACCAAATAAAATGTACTAACTTAACTACAAACACTTGGTTGCAGTGTTACGTAATCCTGAATGTAGGACGCCAACAACATACATCATTCGTCAGAGCTATTTAAGCAACGAAATCATGTACAGGGAGATGGTCCCGTATACTGTTTATTGATCAGTACATATTTTTATGTTATCAAAAAAAAATCTTTCGTTTTTCAGTAAAATCTCCTGCATCAGCAAATTAATTTTGGATCTTCAATTCTGCTTCCGTGTACACAATGTTCCTGTCTTATATGGACGGACGGGTGACTTATTTAAAGCAACGTGCAAGTGTTTTGTGATAAACATTTGTATTTACATTGTAAAAGGAGTTGGGCAAATGTGGGTTGGTCATTCGACCAATGCTGGTCGAATTATCAACTGCCAACAACCTTGGGCAAATTATTCCCAATTTTGACAGTTTTTACCCAATTCAACCCAATATGACTTGAGGTTATTTCATACCAATGCTGGGTAAATTACATTGCCCAATCGTGTTTTATCCAACATTTTTTTTTACAGTGTATCAGTAGGCTATTATAGACCGATGCCAAGTCTAAAAAAGCATAATCAGCTCAGTATTTTCGTTACCTTTCTAATTTCTTCCCGTTTGCAGAGCCCATTTCAATGAACAAGCTACTAGCTAAGCGAGGGAAGGACCTGTCACAGGAACACAAAGGAACTCGTGTAAGTTATAAGCAAGATGTGAGTTACTGCCGCTGAAGTATACTCCTCTTTTAAAGAAAAACCACCAACCTTGCTATAGTTCGATTGAATAATTATCAAACTCGCAAATGATGGTGGCTACAAAGAAAGAACCACAATGTTTGGGGTCGTCATGTTGTATTTCGCTTGCATGACCTGATATGATAAGGAGTATTTGGATTCTGGCAAGGAGTTCAAAGAATTTTGGTGACAATTTTAACGGGAGATTATGATGTTAAAACAATTATTGCCATTTCCTCCGAGTTGCAATGATCGATTCGAGGCTGACACTGCAGTCGCAATTAACATATACTGGCGGTATCACCCGTTATCCACGGAGCCAAGTCTCCTGTATAACGTCTGACATGTCAAAGCATGCAGATTTGTGCGATCTCGCGCCTCGGCCAATCGGAGTCGACTTAACTAAGTCGTGACGTCATTTCATTCCCAAATCAGGACTAAACGTTTGATTGTTCAATTCGAATGCAGCGTTTTGTAAGTACAACAACAGCCGGATGCGTATCGCGTAACATAATACATAGCGTGTGCCACAGTTTGTTGCTGTGTCTAAGGGTATATATATATGTTTTTATCCATGTTACGTCTATGACGCGACAACGGTAAATCGCCAAAGACCCGATATAGAAAGCACCCACTGATTGGTCAAAGCCTAGAGGTCAAGATGCGGTTGTCTTGCATAATTAATCAGCGAATCTGCTCAAATGTAATAGACCAGGAAGGGGGAAGGGGGGGGGGGGAGGGAATTGCTGCTCTGCGACTTTTTCTTTTTCTTTTTGGGGGGATGAAGGCACAAGCACCTCACAATCGCCACAACTATAGTGATGATATTAAACGTGTTTATTGTGTCCACGTTTTCGGATTTAAAACTGGGAAATAATATTCATAGGCCTAAGTAGAATATTGAACCCTTTAAGTTATAAATAACAGCACGGGGAGCATTATAAATAGAAACCAAATTGATACGGTGATCTATAAAACATCTAACACCACTTATACATGTATCTCGTTTTCTGTTTTTTTTTTTTGTAATGTAGGAATCGTGCAATAACCGGACTTGCTTATGGGAAAAAGAGCAGTTGTACCGCAAGGGTTTGGCGTGGGATATGTGCAGTGCGCTCCATGCCCATGGGGCGGACACCCACCACCACCATCCGCCATTACGGTACCGTCTGGACGAGTCAAGGAACAAGACCAAACTGGCTTCCATGCTCGAGCACTTCCTAGTCATAGACTCTCTCAAGTTGATTTATTGCTTTATACCAAAGGTGGGCTGTACGAGCTGGAAGCGTCTGTTCCTTGTCATGAGCGGCAAATACGATTCCATGGAAGATATAGGGCAGAGGGAAACACACATTCTCGCGTTGAGAACGTTCCGTACGCTGGCCAGCTACACCGTCGCTGAAGCGGAGGAACTGTTAGCAACTTACAGGAAATTCGTCATCGTGCGGAACCCTTACGAGAGGGTACTTTCGGCGTACCAGGATAAATTTCAGGAGGACTACCCTGCGAGTCGAGTAACCAGGAAGCAGTACAGCGAGAAGATCCTTCGAATGACCGGTGGCTCGCCTGAAAATGTCCAGAAACTGTTGCAATCCCAGCGCAGGAAAGACGGCACGCTAAACGTCACTTTCTCGCAGTTCGTGAGATTCTTGTCGCGTCTCGGCGGTCCGAAGACCCGGCAGTATATGAACGATCACTGGAAACCGATGAATCTGATTTGTCATCCGTGCCTCGTCGACTACGACTGGATCGGACACTACGACTCTTTACGGACCGACGCCGATTTCATTCTAACAGCCGTCGGGGCCGACCCCCAATTCCGATTCCCGAATTTCACTACAAACCCCACGGGAAGTTCCAATGGGGACACGCTGCTTCGATACTATTCCACTCTTACCACCGCGGAAATAGAGGACCTGTACAAATACTTGGAGTTAGATTTTAGTCTCTTCGGATTTGATATACCGCCGAGTATACGGAGCTTACTCAACAACAGAGGGCGTGCTAACGATTACACCACCAATGATCAGACACATCTTCCGGTAACTTAAAGCTAGTTTACTGTCATAATTTATATTTAATTCCATGAAGTGCTTCCTTTTATAGCTTGATGGTCTTTTACTGCTACCGAGTGCATCTCCGACTCCGAAGTGATGATTGTAAAACAAAATTATAATACTGATTTTTTTTTTTTACATTAGACTGCGCCTTCAATTGAGCTCAAAAACATTTTGACTTGATCGTTTCCATTAAGTATAAGGTGTGTCCATGGAGGTAGAATGGGCTGACGTGGAATGACCCATATACATTGAAGGGGAGCACTAAGGGACAAATTCCTTAAAGGGGTAAACAAACTTGTTTTGTCCAACCATATAAATTCTGATTGTAGATTGCGAACTTGGGCAAAGCATGCATGCATCCATTGTTAACATCTAGGCTGTTATGTACTGACAGTTCCTGGTCGACAGTTCGGAAGTTTGATCTTCAAGGTACAAGGTACAACACGGTCTATGAAATCCTATAACAAATCTGTATTGAAAGGGCACGGCAAGGTCATTTCCCTTCCCTAGTCGCGAATAAACAGTGACTGTGAGCTTGGGCGGGTTGTGTGATCAAGTGAATACAAGCATGTTTGCTATTGGATGAGGAAGTTCGATTCAAACAGCAATGCTGACGCAATTTCTACCCAAGTTCATGTCTTGAAATCAGCCCAGCAGATATCAACTCCGTATGGTGTGCATTACAGTTTCATGTCAGTATGTGCGCCATCCGTGATCTTCAAAACTGTACAAGTGCTGAGTGTACAGACTGCAGTTCATAATGAGCAATGTCTCGGGCCGGACGATGTATGCTCTGCTGTGTGGTCGTTGTGGCCGTGACCGTGCTGGCTAGTATTCAACGCTTGGGTCTTCCGGCAAGTATAATAAGAGGTAGGCAAAAACAAATCCTTGCAGTTTAGTTCTTGCACTTCCGCAACGGGACATAGTAGGCCTAATGACACATGAACAGGAAAAGATATACTTTCGATTCGAAAACAGAACTGCAAAAGCAGTACAATAATCCAGCACGCAGAGTTAAACCGTTTCGACGAAATTCTTCTTCAGATAAAATCTTAATAGTCAATGTATATTGCAGTGCCTAATTAATTGGTGTTCAGAAATACTACAAAACAAAATATGACGATAAACAAAGCAGATTTGCACTCAGTCGCCTCATTACAAACGCTCATGCCGAGCTTGTTTAACTATAAGCTCGACCGAACCGAAGAGGCAAAGTTTGGGCTGTGAACGAATCAGAGTTTGACTTTTGTGTGCACCAAATAAAAATGTACTAACTACAAACGCTTTGTTGCAGTGTTACGTAATCCTAAGTGTGGTATTCCAAAAACATACATAATTCGTTAGAGGTAATAGAAGCAACGAAATGATGTCCAGGCAGATGAGTTTGTCTCTGCATTCAATAGGGGACGTCAGTGAACAAAAGAGGACAATAGGGTTCCCGAAGGTCCCCAATTTGGATTCGTGTACAAAACATGATGGTCTTCCTAAAAAGTTCAAGTACAAACAAAAGAGGGACAATAGCGGGTCCCCGATTGCAGGCAAACACACACTTGTAGCGGCTTGTAGTATAATGTAGATGACTCCACCCAGCTGGTGGGAATCCCGCTATAGTTGATCCACATTTTTTTTAAATCACAAAATTAAATCTTCCGATTTTTCGTAAAATGTCTTGCATCAGCAAATTAATTCTGAAATCTTATTTATACGTTCCTGTTCTGCTTCCATGCATACAGTGCTCCAGTCTATGTTAATGAACAGACGGGTGACTTATTCAAAGCAACGTGCAAATTTTTTTGTGATAAAAGTGTGTCGTGAGCAGGCTTTCATAAAGACCGGTGCGAAGTTAAAAAAAATAAAGCATAATCAGCTCAGTATTTTCGTTACCTTTCTAATTTCTTCCCGTTTGCAGAGCCCATTTCAATGAACAAGCTACTAGCTAAGCGAGGGAAGGATCAGTCGCAGGAACATAAAGGAACTCGTGTAAGTTATAAGCAAGACGTGAGTTTCTGCCGCTAAAGTATACTCCCCTTGAAAGAATAACTACTAACCTTGCTATAGTTCAATTTACTGATTATGCAATTCGCAAAGGACACTAGAAAATTATGGGGGCAACAACGAAAGAACCATAGCTTTATTAGGACATGTTTGTATTTCGCTTGATCTGAAATGATAAGGAGTAATTGGATCCCGGCAATGCGTATGTTGACAATTTTAACAGGGTATGTTAAAAACTATTATTGCCAGTTCCTCCGAGTTGTAGGCCTAACGATCGATTCGTTGCCGACTCAATAGTCGCAATGTGGGGTCGAAGGGGGGGGGGGGGGTGTAAAGTGATAACCTTCAATGTGTTTATTGTGACCACGTTTTCAGAAAAGAAAAAAAATCTATCAGAAACACTAATCCCAAAACCTGGATAACACAACTGGGGAAGAATATTCATAAGTAGAACATTGAACTCTTCAAGTTGTAAATAACATAACGGGGAGCATTATTAAAAAAACAAAAAACCAAAATTGACAGTACGGTGATCTATAAAGCACCTAACATAACTTGGATGTTGTTTTCTGTTCCTTTTTTTGTAATGCAGGAATCGTGCAATAACCGGACTTGCTTATGGGAAAAGCAGCAGTTGTACCGCAAGGGTTTGGCGTGGGATATGTGCAGTGCGCTCCATGCCCATGGGGCGGACACCCACCACCATCCCCCACGGTACCGTCTGGACGAGTCAAGGAACAAAACCAGACTGGCTTCCATGTTCAACTTTTTCCTAGTCATAGACTCTCTCAAGTTGATTTATTGCTTTATACCAAAGGTGGGCTCTACGAGCTGGGAGCGTCTGTTCCTTGTCATGAGCGGAATATATGATTCCATGGAAGAGATAGGGCAGAGTGAAACACACATTATCACGTGGAGAACGTTCCGTACGCTGGCCAGCTACACCGTCGCTGAAGCGGAGAAACTATTAGCAACTTACAGGAAATTCGTCGTCGTGCGGAACCCTTACGAGAGGGTACTGTCGGCGTACCAGGATAAATTTCAGGAGGACTACCCTGCGAGTCGAGTAACCAGGAAGCAGTACAGCGAGAAGATCATTCGAATGACCGGTGGCTCGCCTGAAAATGTCCAGAGACTGTTGCAATCCCAGCGCAGGAAAGACGGCACGCTAAACGTCACTTTCTCGCAGTTCGTGAGATTCTTGTCGCATCTCGGCGGTCCGAAGACCCGGCAGTATATGAACGATCACTGGAAACCGATGAATCTGATTTGTCATCCGTGCCTCGTCGACTACGACTGGATCGGACACTACGACTCTTTACGGACCGACGCCGATTTCATTCTAACAGCCGTCGGGGCCGACCCCAAATTCCGATTTCCGAATTTCACTACAAACCCCACGGGAAGTTCCAATGGGGACACGCTGCTTCGATACTATTCCACTCTTACCACCGCAGAAATAGAGGACCTGTACAAATACTACGAGTTAGATTTTAGTCTCTTCGGATTTGATATACCGCCGAGTATACGGAGCTTACTCAACAACAGAGGGCGTGCTAACGATTACACCACCATTGATCAGACACGTCTTCCGGTAACTTAAAGTTAGTTTACTGTCATAACTTAATTCCATGAAGTGCTTCCTTTTTATAGCTTGATGGTCTTGTACTGCTACCGAGGGCGTCTCCGACTCCCAAGTGAATGAATTGATGATTGTAAGACGAAATTATAATACTGATTTTTTTTTAACATTAGACTGCGCCTTTAATTGAGCTCAAAACATTTGACTTGATCGATCATTTCAAGTAGGACTCTTGAGGGCGTAGTATACACAAAACAGATCCATCGTGCTGCAGCCATCTTTGGGTGTGTGCTTTTGTTCCACAGGGATACGAATGATTTGACCTCTTACAATTGTGTATTCATTTCTTTTTTTAATGAATTAAATCACACATTAAAGATGGCTTCTGAATGCCAGGGCCTGTGGGTGCACATCCCATTTAAAAAAATCTAATACACACCAGTTATTAATGGCCATACTCTAAAATTCTTTGAAGAATATACTCGGATCTCTCACAGGTGTACAGGATGCACAGAAATATGATGATCAACATGTCATCTTTCATTTTCTTTTCAATGTTTGGGTGGGTTGACCATTGACTAAGTTCCAGAAATTCTCACCAAAGCAGACCACCCCTAAAACAACGGGCCCAATTGCATCCAAAATCTTGCTCCGAATTGGAAGCCCAAGTCCAGGCCAGAGGTGCACTGCCATATCTCTTCAATTCCCAAATTCCATGGCTCTCAGAACTCTCTCATAATTAGTATGTACACGAATTTGGGCTTGAGGATCATTGTACAATCATCAGCGAAGCAGCAAAATGTTCTGTCAACCGCCATTTTGTGACGGCAAAAACTGCTCGGTTTCCCATCGATTGCTTTAATTAGCATGTGTACCCAGATGTGTATTCGAGGCGAATCTGATGAACACTGCCATTTTGAAATTAAACTTTGAACAGGTCCAGGGATAATTTAATAGGTTTGCCAAAACAAGTTTTCAATGATCTATGTGAATTGTTCAATAGTCGAATAAACTAAAATTGGACACAGAGATGGACAATAAAGTGGCTTTTATTTAAACAAAATGAAAAGTTCGAATCACATTACGGTTAATATTACAGTCTTTAAAATAAATTAAAAATGCAGGGTGGCAACAAATGAACAATAAAAAATTGCAACCTGCTCACATTTTTAAACGAATACGTATATAGGCTGTCTCCAAAAAAGTTGTGCAAGCAGATATCCTTTAATACATGTAGCTCAAAAACTACTTAACATAAGTATTTCATCTTGATGGAGCATATTAATTATACTCTTGTGTATGTATAATCAGTAAAAATGCTAACAGATTGTAAAAGGCTGTGAGTTTTTTTTTTACCGATTCCAGTGGGATTCACACAGTTAGAGATATAAGTGTATCAGATTGTCATGGGATTTTTCACTCTGATGTATTAAAATGAAGTTAACAGCCCATCCCATCGGAATGTGTGAAATACCCATAGACTGTTATAATGTTATAGATATCTGGTTTGCATGAACGGATTTCCAGGATATTTTCACTAATTATACACAAGAGTATAATTAATATGCCTCATCAACATGAAATACTCACGTTCAGTTGTTTTTTGAGAAATTAATTAAAGGTTATCTGCTTGTACACGTTTTTGGGACCTTTTGAACATCATTTATGCCGAGGTGAGACTAGGGAAAGTGAAATTGTACCCTCGAAATAATCAACGGGGTCTGAGAGTCACCAAGGGCCCAGAGCAACAAAGGATTTTTGGTATATGTTTGTACTTGCCTGAAGGTATCCCGCCAAATACCCACTTCTTTGGTTCTAGAAAATTTTCTAAATAACATAACATTTAAGGTATAAAAAACCTCAATAATTCCAGATTTCAAAGATTTTTCTTTTATTTTAATCCTGAAATCTGGAAAAACTCCGGACGAACCTCACCCCTACTTAGGCCAAAAAACTTCTGCTTCCGATTACTTGGCATTTGAAAATAGGGTAGGTAGGGTGTTCTTTTTTTGCATTTTTTTCGGTGTTGTTCATTATGTAGGTGTTTACGTGTAGTCAAAGGTAAAGGGCACCGTAGTAATTGATGTTTTTCCCCCCTCATTCCCCCCCCCCCTAAAAAAAGAAGGGTAGGGCTGTCAAAATAGGGTAGGTAGGATCAGCGGAAGGAGAAATATATATATATTTTTGCCTTATGATTATAAATTTCACAAACTCCTCTGATAAGTAAAGAAACTATAACATTTGTTTTAAAGATGTGTATGCGTCACATGAACGATCAGGCTTGAAAATGACATAAATGACAAATTTTTGTTTAAATTCCCTGAAAGGGCCTTAAGGGTCCTTTGCTTGCAAATCATTATACCACATATTTCAATTAATCACATTATTTGAATGTTCCTTTGACGATATGTTGATTTTGTTCTTTTATATTTAGCATATTACATGTATATATAATTTCGATAGTTATGCAAAGTTATAAACTAACATGGAATAAATGACAGATTGCAAGGTTTTCTTAACATTGTTAAGCATTATCATAATGGAATAAACCACAACTCCTTTTTTTCTTACAAAATGATTTTCTGTGTTTATCATTGTAATCGTAACTTTGACCAAATTAAAATGTAAAAAAAACCCCAAGAAATCATAGTCAAATTAATAATTATTCGAAATGCTGGAACATCGAATTTGAGGGAAATTCGGGATTAAAGGAGGCGTGGAATTGTCAGCCTCAAATTCATAATCATCATTGTACAGTCGAATGAATGTTAAAGAAATTGGTATTAAAGATAATCTTTTCCCAGAGACGGCCAAACATAATTGTTTTACTAGATAGTTATACCTATCGCATCGCGAAGGTCTGGATCAAAGGAAAACCACATAATGTCCTACTTTCGGGAGAAAATGTAGAAAAACACTGTTAGTTTGCAAAATACAGCCATCCAATTGTGAGCCGAAGCTATCAACTCCAGACTAGTGCCGCGAATAATGCTGACTGATTCAGGCAACAATTTGTTAGTGGGAAAATCCCATAGCAATGACAGCAGGTGGGTTTTCGAAAAAGATATATGCGTGACTTAAATAAAGTCTAGCACTCCAAAGGGTCGATTTTCGAGGACGCGTGCCCCGAAATTCCTCGGAGCGATAATTACACGAAAACCGTAATATATAGACACGATCATAATCTTCTTTAGAGTGATCTCCCAACAACATGCATTATCACTTGTCAGTAAACGCGTTTTGGAGCCCAAAGGACGCATTCAGGACGTCCTTATACTCTTTATGTTGATACGCATTAATGGGTAGGCTACTAATTTTATTCTGTGACTACGGTGAAACGTTAATAGTATATAAATCAAGCGAACAACAGCCATCACCCACAATTCCTGAATTGTGAACGCCAGAATATGATACAGGTATGACCTATGCATAGCCTAACCTACTGTACTGTCATGTGACATAATGTAAAGTACAAACCATTTCAAATCTCAAACAAGGAGAATAATGCAAAAAAAACAGCAATGTCCTAAAATAACCATGAATTGCATCGACGTTTGGCTTCAGAAACTACATTGTATAGTACGGATTGCTTGGTCTATGGCCATGAAACTAAAGAGCTAAATCAGATGGCAGCTCAGTTGCATTAGTTTATGACAGTGTTATCAAAGACCACCGCCGTTTTTCTGTAGCGTTTGAAACGCTGGCATATTTTTTTTTTGGAAAAATGTAGGCATGCCGAGTACCCGCAGCAGTTTAAAGTGGACAGTCTTATTAAACATCGTGTCCCCCAAAGAATGACACGTTATCTTGTCATATGCTTTAATAGGAAGTCTCTCTAAACTTCATTAGCAACATGAATCGCACCCGGAACGGCAAAAGAAGGTTTTGGGAATCTTCATCATACAACCGGCGCTTTTATGATTACTTGTGCTATTCACTAGCAGTGTGGGAACAAACTGAACCGACATGTGTATAGTGGTGTTCAAGAAAAGGCACCCAAAGATGTTTTATTCTTTAGACCTATTCTTATATTTAAGTATCCATCCAAGGGAGAGAAGAGCAACTGGAAGAAGCTCCTCAGTCAAGCAAGCTTTGGAGGATGCAGTGCACCATGGCACTTGGGAGGACAGATCACCCTACTTGGGAGAACGGACACCGCCATGTAAGAATGGAACTAGCAAAGGTGGTCCCCTCATATGTACGTATCGGCGGGTTTTTTACTGACTGTAAAATACAGCGGTCAAGAGGAGACATGCCGTCGTTGTGGAGAGCCGGGCCACAAAGCCGCAGAGTGCCCGACCATCGTATGTTTCAACTGTCAGCAACCGGGCCACATGAGCGGCGAATGTCCGCAACCAAGACGCTGCCGAACATGTGGCGCGGAAGGTCACACATCCAGAGAATGTCGCCAGTCCTACGCCAACCAACTGAGAGGACACCGCCTGAGTATGTCAGACTTGTCCGACTCGGGAGTCAGACATGGAAATGGCCCCCAGAAGACGCCCAGCCACCATGACTTTCAGTGTTGGAGGTCTCGAGGCCGGCCTCGGCCTCGAGGCCGGCCTCGAGGCCGATTTTCATGGCCTTGGCCTCGGCCTTGGCCTCGGAGGTGCAAGGCCTCGGCCTTGGCCTTGGCCTCGGAGCCTTCCGGCCTCGGCGAATCGTTCGAGGCCGGCTCGAGGCCGCCCATTTTAATGAGTTTTCTATTCTAATTAATTTTAATTTTTTACCGTATCAAACCCTCGAGATTCTGCCGCAGTGGGTTCCGTGAAACGAACGCATATACAATGTACGCACGAATGAACTGGAAATGGTTGCATTGAACGTACTCACGTACGTGTACGTAGCATCTTCGCCTAGCCTGCGCTTCAGCTTTCTACGTGCGTGCAAACGTTATAACTGTTACCGCGTGCCAGACTACATAAGTCTGGCACCAATTCCATCTGCGTACAATAACATGTGGTAGTAGACTAGTCTGGTTGCAGTATTGTACAACATTTTCTCGTTTCGCCTCTGTACCCCGACCTTTAAAAATGATTTGCGGCAAGGTGCGGCAAGCTTAATTATTTTTTTTTTTTATAGGCCACTGTTTTAAGTAAAAGTCTGAACTTTCTGGGTACGATCGAGTGTACTGGTCTGTACCATTTTTTTTTCATAAAGATATGAAAAACGGTTTCGATTCATCAAGTAGATTTTATTTTTACACGGTGATTTAAATGAAAGTTCCGGCTCACACGGTAATGTTTGGCGCAAATGGTCGATATGGAAAGCGCGATTTCAGAATTCGTTTTTCCATCCAAATGAATGCGAAGTTCTGAATGAATGTTTTAATAATAGGAGTCAGTATTCCTCGTGGTACCAGGATACTTTTTTTGTATTTTTAGAGCCATGTTGATACTTATTACATGTATAAGCACGGTTTAAAATTGACTAATTTTGCGTGGTTACAGAAATACGGCCAAAACATCTGGACTCCCTACCTCTTGCCATGATCTTAAAATTCTTCGAAGCCATTGGATTCAAATCGGATGATCCGAGAATTCATGGTCATTTGATGAACTGAGTGATTTCATGCACGCATGTTCCGTGTTGCCGTGTTGTTTGGAGTGGGATTGGTCATTGCCAGACTTTGTCTGGTACCGCGGTATTTATAACAGTGATAATGCGTGGACACTTATCCCATTGTGTGGAGCGGGATTGGAACTATGCTTTGCCCGTGCGTAACGGCGGGCCGTCTGGCATTGTCTGGTCGCATCGCGGTGTTTCCTCGGCGCGCGCCTGGACAGTGCGAAGGTCGGGGGGGGGGGGTCGAAACTTTTTGGTTATGAGTGGTAAAAACCTGATTCAAAAATCAAGTTGTTGTTTATTTAATGGGGATTCCTATGATATTAAGCATTTTGATAGGTTTTGAAAATAAGATTTATAAAACATGCTAAAAGTAAATAATGTAAATCTGACAGAATAAAAACTCAAAATTTGGCCATTTAAATTGTTGTATCTCCAAAGGGCAAACACCTATGAGCCTGATTCAAACGCCATTGATTTTGTTGTGCAATTTGCTTTCAGTGATACAAAACTTGAGATTTCTTACTTTAAAAAATAAAATTCGCGGGACTCCCTACAAGAGGAAATTACCCTATGCAAGCTGTAAATTTGTAAGCCAGGCACTCCAAAACTCAGTGAATTCAAATAAAAATATGTTAAAACTCCAACATAATCTTAGCCTTGTTTTAGTGATTTATATTTTATTACATGTTTTGACAGCCGGCCTCGGCCTCGGCCTTGGCCTTGGAGGTGGTGGCCTCGGCCTTGGCCTTGCGGTTGCGGCCTTGGCCTCGGCCTCGGCCTTGGCCTCGGAGGTTGTGGCCTCGGCCTTGGCCTCGGAGGTTGTGGCCTCGACTACAACACTGATGACTTTCCCCCCAACCGCCAGAGGGAAGACCAAGCAGAACCGACAGACCCCCCAGAGCGGAGCCCACAACCACAACCAAGCCGGCCAAGCAAACCACAGCCGGGCCAGCCACGGCCGAACCAGCCGGGCCACCCACGGCCACACTTGCCAAGCAGACCAAACCCAAGAAAGCCCCACAGACAACAACCGAACAACCGAGACGCATAAAAATGATCCCACCACCCCCCCAAACGACTGGGGAAACTACAACCACGACGGAGAATACAACCACCACTGAAGACACCACTGACTCAGAGGCGTTTTATCAACAGAACGCCTCCGGGAAAGTAGCCCTACCCACCGGAAGCGAGGACCCCATCGCCCGGACCAAGTCATGGAAAACACAGGTGGCCGAGGCAACCCGCTCATCCTCCGAAGGTTCTACCATTTCCGTCATCCCATCCAAACGGGGACACTCCTCGTCCCCCCAGGAACCAAACGGGGACGAGGGCTGGTGGGCTATCGATCGCCCGAGGCGCAACAGATGAGGGGCGAGATCGACCAAGAAAGGACGCTAGGGAGTAATTCCGTGTATTGGAATGAACTGTACATTTTTCATGATGTGTATTGTAAAATGTTGCCTTTTAATTTTGATAATGTGTTCTCTTAAAATAGGTAGTTTAAATGTTAACGGTCTAAGGAATAGGGCGAGACGCCACCAAATTTTCGACTCCTGCAATGAGCGAGGTATTGATATCTTGCTCTTGCAGGAGACCCACGCCTCTGGTTTCCACGAAGCCAGGGCGTGGGCCAGAGAATTTGGCGGCGTCGGGTTTTGGTCCTTCGGCACATCATCCAGCCGTGGTGTGGCCATTCTGCTTTCAAAACGCCACACGTGGGGGCCGACGGACTTTTCACGAGACAATGCAGGTCGAGTGGTCGACATTACTATACAACTTCCAAATTCCAAGACTAAAATTCGTGTGGTCAATGTTTACAGCCCTAATGTCCCCGGGGACAGAAAGACTTTTTTCTAACGAACTGCCGCTCCATTGCTAAGACTTGAGGCACCATGTTCTGGGGGTGATTTTAACAGTGTCGAAAACCTTGAGCTCGATAATATAAAAGGGGATAATGATTTATATAAAAATACCACTGGCACCAAAGAATTACGTAAGATAGTTGGACCACTCGGCCTGGTAGATGCGTGGCGCGAACAAAACCCAAACAACAAAAGATTTACTTGGCGTAATAAGCGAATTACCAGAGCTACACGGATTGACCGCTTTTATTTGTCTCGTGAATTGGCGTCCGGCTCCCAAAATGCAATCACCGCCTTTCCACTTTCAGATCACGATATAGTCACTTGCAGTATAACTGGGAAAATTGGCAACACGGGAAATAGACCAAGATGCATGGCCGATTATCTTGCAGTTTGTTGACGCATATCACAGATCTAAATAAATTGTACTTTAAACTACTCAGGAAGCTGTTGGGATGCTCACATATAAAATCCACCGTTGATCCGTGACCCAAAATGGTACCAAAATCGCGATTTAAAGTTCAGATTTCCACCGTTTCGGCGCAAAAAATGCCGAGTGAAGAATTACGTCATTATTTTCAACGACCAATCAGCGAGGCCCTTCTGTCGTGGTGCGGTGAATGGACCAATAGCGGGCGCCGTAAGTACGAGCGTGCGCATGCGCGCAGGCACTACCAGGCAGCAAGATGGCGGACGCCATGAGCTCCTCAGACGACGGCGATTCTGACGGGAAAAAGTGCATAATACATGTTTCAAATGGCCGATCAACCGTTTCATCGTTTTCAGAGAAAAGCTGGACAAAATTCATAGCTTGTGCAGGTAGATGGAAGAATGCGGGGGAATCCGAAATCGAAGAAATCGTGAAAAAAGCGGAGGAAAACATCGGCATGCCAATAGCACTCGTGGAAGGAGATGTACCGGAATCATTGTCAAAGGTAGGCATTGTAGGGCATACCGTACGCGGCCTTAGGCCTATAAACGATAGTTCGTATTAATTCGGGAAAAATGTTGCAACCTTACGCCACTTTTTTCTTCATATATCATCTCAATGAAGGTTATTCATTGCAAAAAATATGATAATGAGACATGAATCTGGGACTGAGAAATATTTGCAATTTTGTTAGGAAATTATTAGGTCTACATAAAATATTTAATGTACTATTAAGTAGGCCTACATTAATTACTAGACAATTTTCTTGACTGTCCATATCCTATTTTGTACACAATCGCGGAAGTGGCGTCAGGTTGCAACATTTTTTTCCTTTTTTTCCCCCCTCGAATGTAGGATTTTAAGAGCCGGAAGGAAATCATTCCATATACGTACGCCACGACACCCTGTGTACAAACCTATTGAGACTACGAAGTACGAAGTGGTTAAAACCAAAATTTATTTTGCCATTCTTGAAGCTGGTGCTCATAGCGTCCTCATTTATGTAGGCCCTAACTGTACTTTTATTTCCTTACTATTTTTAAGGATGCCTTGCACCTGCATGTAAAGAGGGCCAATTACCGGGCAGCCATTTACAAGCGGGCCCTGGATGCACGTCCTGAAGTGCCGTCTCCACACAGAAGAGGGTGGAAGGTCATCGGCGATGACATCAGTATCCACTGGATGGATCTACCCCCTGCCCCAGACAGTGTCGTGGAATTTGCCCATTGTTCTTGTAAAAAAAGTCAATGTACAAAAGGCAAGTGTAGCTGTCTCGAAAAGAAACTGCCATGCACAGACTGGTGCAAGTGCACAAACTGTGAAAACATTCCAGGTGAAGAGCAGCGCACTTCACCCGAAAGTAATGATTCAGATATTGAGGATTAAATTAACCATCATGAACATGTTTGGCTATCTAAATATGGAATAAGATTGTCACTTCAGAAGCGTTAAATCACACATTCTGCTTCCAATCCCACTTAAATATTTCCAAATATGAATCAAAAGGACTCGTTTTTAAATAACTTACATTGTTATAGGGACATACTCAACTAAAAACCCCCCAAATTTTTGTCTTACGGTTGAAATGACACCGTTGATTTTGTGACGGACGTTTTCCAGTTGCAGGTTCAGCAAGGGGATTGGAAATAATTTTACCGTGTTTTCTTTTTCGACAATGTTTTTTGTGTGTGGTAATTTGTAAGGGCTTAAAACAGTTTATTCCTCTTCGCTAATGTTCATGCTTACAGTCTTATTTGTTGTTAATCAAATAGACTCTATTAAGACGTCCTTGAGAGCTTCTTGTTACTGTAATTCCTTTTTGGGGGGGGGGGGAGGTGGGTGCAGAAGATGTCGTATACTAAGAATTGTCCTCCAAGATGCTATGCAAAAGGCCCATTCTCTAGGTTGATGCCTTTGTGCAGAGAGAATTGTTTCATATCTTATACTAGATGTATTCACCAATCCTCTTATACATTGAACTATGTTCTCAACTGCAGTTCTGGTTTCTTTGAAGGTTTATGACATTTTTCGTCCTTCGACCCTTCAAATGATTTGAAATTTAGACAACGGAACTCACTGTAGATAACGGATGTAGTTTCCAGATGCCAATGGATTCGCCATTGAAAGATTCAAGTCTGTTTACCATTTTTGTAATGACTAACCTTTATTGAGATACAAAGTTCTGGTCTTACCTTGTTCCGGTCTTACCTTGTTCCGGTCTTACCTTCATGGAAGGACACAGTAACTAAAATTGGGAATGTCTTATCGAACAAATCCGATTCTTTCAATTTTGGAGTCCCACAAGGAACTATCTTGGGGCCATTAATATTTTCTATATTTATTAATGATATCACGTCAGTGACTGAGCATACTAAAATTGTCCTTTGTGCTGATGACACTTCTATTTTTTACTCAAGTAAAGATATTCATCAGATCAACTTGTATCCAGAAAATGTCAAACTGGCTCAATGACAATAGATTAAAATTGAATACTACCAAGTCCAAAAGCATGTTGATTTGATCATTCCAAAAACTTGCCAGATGTGAACATCCTAATATTGATATTTATTTTTTTTGTATTATAATTTTTGCCAATCACAGTTATTATTTCTCAAGTATTTTTAATTACCATTTACCGTATTGTTTTTTGTACGAATAAATATGCATCAAAGGCTGAAATTATAAACCCTGTGGTCATTTTTATTTTATTATATTCAGATAAATTCATTTGTATTTGTGTCGGACCCTCCGTTTAATTTTATTACATCGTAAGTCAGAAATACTCTGTAATTTTAACCAAAAAGAAAATTATAATCATATGATCAATAATACCCTATTTAGAAGTTCAGTAAAGAACAATATATGTGTTCTAAATGAAAATATAAAACAAAAGGAGGAAACATTTGCACTGAGGCTGGGAAAGGGCTTTTAGAATCTTCCATGAATTTCAATGGGCTGGAAAATTTGATATTTAAATTAATTATTGGAACATTAAAAGTCTATTGGAACATTGAAAGTCACCCCAAGTCCCCTTTATCGAGTCTTGGCTCTGTAGAGACCCTTTTTAGCAAGCAACAGCAATTAAAACAATCTTTCCCATTGAAAATGTGCACAGTTTTCCATTCCTGGTCAATAGAGGGCGCCCTTTTTTGAACTGCTCATTAAAATGCAAATATTTAAATGATTGGTCACTTTGGGATTGTGGATTTTGTTTTTTTGTGATCCATATGGTCTCAGCTAATAACCTGCAAAAATTCACTTAGTTCTGAGAGGTGCGCCAAGAGAATCACTTTCTGAGCACATTTTGCAGCCATGCCCCGTGGTCTAAAAAGGAAATTGGAAAATGAACACTTCTCACCTTGAAGACGAAGAATTTTGCATGATTACTAAATAGACATGGGAAAATTGGGAGAAAAACAAAAGTTCGTTTGATAATTTAATAGAGTGGTGGGAACAAGGGAAAAATAAAATTCAAACGGGCGGTGAATGCATTTTCTGCCGATAAGGCAAGACGACGTAATGCTGAACATAAGGAACTCATGAGACAAGTCAATTTCCTCCAAACTCAAGTAGACAGCGATAAAAGTTATCTTATGCCCCAACTAGACGAAATCTGTACCCAAATCAAAAACAGTAACATTCTCAAAACCAAGCCTAGCCAAAACCATAAATGCCCCAAGATCAATGGTGAAACCGATTGTGCATACCCCGTCATAAACAACCCCGACATAAAACGCATGCCAAGGATGCTACTTGTTTACTAAGCTCCGATTAATTTTTCTTTTAGATTAATTGTAAGGGGATAGCGCGAACGCAGTCCCCACTATCAGAAATTGTACTCCACAAGTGCAGTATGCATGGCTGATCAAGGAACTAAAACTACACGGTCAGGCAATCCCAAAGGTGCTCATCTTTTGCCAGTCGCATAGGCACTGCAGAGAGCTACATGCTGCCTTCGAGGATGGCATCGAGGAGCATTTGAGCGGACATGTTGCTATGTTCCACTCCAGTACAGAGGACACACGTTAAGAGTTTGTATTAAACGAGTTTACTAAGGCCAGTGGTTCAACCAGAATTTTGATTGCAACAGTGGCCTTTGGAATGGGCATCAATGTTCAAGAATTATATCACGTCATTCATCATGGGCCATCTCGAGACATAGACGACTATTTCCAAGAAACTGGCCGTGTTGGAAGAGACGGACTGACCTTGCCGCGCGGTGTACGTGTATGTACATCGTACATGTACATGACTTTTGCATGAATGGTTGTAGCGCTCACGTTGCGTGAACGGCGGTGGCATGGCCGGTATGCGGATTCTGGCGCTGATGACGGACATAAACCACTATAGTCTAACGACTTGCCATCAAGTCTAATACGCACGAGGGTAACGAACGGTGTGGTGTGTGCCGCATGCAGTAAAAATGTGAAAATAACACCTATCCAGTACCTAGCTACATTGCCATCAGCGTTTATTATAGGGCAAACCGTAGAGAGATCCTCATTCAAGAGACACTAAAATGCGAATTTTAACCCATACCAAGATTCTGATATCGACTCCATTACGTGAGACAGAGCGCTTGAGGGTGAAGCACCACAGCAACACTAGCAGTAAATGTTTGACAATACCGGTCCCATGAATTCTATTTTTGGTTTGATTGTACGGGGATAGCGCGAACGCAGTCCCCACTATCAGAAATTGTACTCCCGAGTTCCCCACGTTTGGGGGAATCGCATCAGTCAGCCCACCGAAGTGCAATGGTAAGGCCTCGCAATGGGAGAACCGCCTGCTTGATCACGGTATCTCCTGAGCCAGGTAAGTATGATTGTCAGACAATGTTCCTGGGTCCTTTCTGGGTACGTGAAACGTGGTAGTCACTGCTTGCTGAAGCAGGGAAATGCGGGCGTAGCAACCACAGTTTTGTCTCTCGCCTTGCGCACGCGCGAATCCATTGGTATGTAAACTATTGTTAACGCGTCAGTAACTACAGTACAGTTGCTGTTTGGTCAATTGGTCACGCTCCGGTCGGCTCGGTGAATGTTTAGTACCATCAGCATGAATGAATGAAGGACAATTTCATGCAACCCACCTTGATTAGGAAAGAAAACCAGTGAATGGAAAATGAACAACGAATATCTTTGACTGGAAATAATCAAAGTATGAACTTGCACCTCACAAAAGCCAATCATTAAGAAAGATTGCTAAAAGTATATGTTGCCAAGAATCAATTCACCAATCCTATTTTTTATTTTAAATACATGTACATGTAAAAATCAACAACAGCGATCTGTTAGAAAAAGCAATGGTCGAGGAAAGATCCACAGAAGAGTGAGCCACCAAGAGGTTTCAAAGGCCTTATGGATCAGTTTGTATCAGTTTTTGGTCGAAAAGGTTCGAAAGAATATGTTCATCCATATTGAAAGGTACATCTTCAACTTTAAACAATATACAGACAACATTACAGCAAGAACTTTGTCACAGGTTTTACAAGCCACTTGATTGGTAGTTCAGCAGCAGAACTAAGGAGTGCGAATCCCAAGTATTCAAGAGCTTCCGTAACTAGCACACAGAAGAACAAAACATCACTGAGGGCGAAGTCATGAGAATGACCAAGTTACTACACCTCTTGAGAATGTCTGAAGAAGCTGGAGCAGAACCATTCCTATCCTCCACAACAATCCTACGGGAAAACTAAAGAAACGGAATATCAACAATTAAAACTTTTTTCGAGCGGCCATTATGAAGAACATCATCAGGCCCCAGAGATAACAATTTGTGAAGCTCTGGTAATTGTTTAAAGAGTTGACAGGGCTTTGGTGGAACTTGGCTTTGGATTTGTTGCCGAAACAGCCACACAAAAAAATTAAATGAAGAAGATATCGTCGCGTGGGTCCTCGCATTTTGGCAGCGTGGGGCAAGGAAACATTCACAAGACACAGCCGAAGACGTCAAAACAACCCGCCGGAGTGCAATGGCTGGGTCATGCCTTGGAAGAACCGCCTGCTAGATCACGGTATCTCCCGAGTTAAATATGTTGCCCACAGGGGCAAAGACAAGGCTTCACGCTTTCATATCCTTTTGCTACCTTATATAGCAAGATGGTAGCGGAAACGCAGTCCCCACCATTAGAAAGTATACCTCCGAGTTCTTCACGCTTGGAAGTAAACAACATTCGCTGGGGACGGCTCAGGATATCACAAGGTGCAGCAACTGAAGTACGTGTAATGATTTCATAAATTATATTTTTGGACTGATTCACGAAATCCTTTAGTACGATCAAAAAACCTTACCTATAACAAATGTATAGGAATTTGTTAGGTAGCAAGAAAAAACCCATCATTTGATTATATCAGTTAGTTCACTGTCTTGCATAATACTACCTTAATAAAATATGTATTTTCTGTCATTCAAATCTTGCTTTGCTCATGTGTGATTACTAACAGGTGAAGTAGCCACTTTGTCATCTGTGAAGAGGTTAAGAGAGATAGTACAAGGTCGCAGATCAAAACCTCATCCAGTTAAGAAGGAGAGTGCTACTCTACGAG